AAGTCCTAGTATAGTGTGGCATAAAAAGTCATATTATGGTATGGTAAAAAAAAAAGTCATAAAAAAGTCATAGTATTGTATGGTATAAAAAGTCATAGTATATTATGGCATAAAAAGTCATATTATGGTATGGTAAAAAAAAATTCATAAAAAAGTCATAGTATAGTATGGCAAAAAAAATCATAGTATAGTATGGCATATAAAGTCATAAAAAAGTCAAAGTATTGTATGGTATAAAAAGTCATAGTATATTATGGCATTAAAAGTCAGAAAAAAGTCATAGTATAGTATGGCATTAAAAGTCCAAGAAAAGTCATAGTATAGTAAGTAATGAAAAGTCAGAAAAAGTCATATTATGGTATGGCATAAAATTTCATAGAAACCTCATAGTTTAGTATGGCATGAAAAGTCATGAAAACCTCATAGTATAGTATGGCATAAAAAGTCATAAAAAAGTCATAATATAGTATGGCATAAAAAGTCATAAAAAAGTCATAGTATAGTAAGGCATAAAAAATCAGAAAAAAGTCATAGTATAGTATGGCATGAAAAGTCATAGTATAGCATGGCATAAAAAGTGAGAAAAAATCATAGTATGGCATAAAAAGTGAGAAAAAACTCATAGTATGGCATAAAAAGTCATAAAAAAGTCACGCATAGTATGGCATGAAAAATCACAAAAAACCTCATCGTATAGTAAGGCCTGAAAAGTCATAAAAAAGTCATAGTATAGTATGGCATGAAAAGTCATAGTATAGCATGGCATAAAAAGTGAGAAAAAATCATAGTATGGCATAAAAAGTGAGAAAAAACTCATAGTATGGCATAAAAAGTCATAAAAAAGTCACGCATAGTATGGCATGAAAAATCACAAAAAACCTCATCGTATAGTAAGGCCTGAAAAGTCATAAAAAAGTCACAGTATAGTATGGCATAAAAGTCATTAAAAAAAAGTCATGGTATAGTATGGCATAAAAAGTTAGAAAAAAGTCATAGTGTAGTAAAGCATAAAAAGTCAGAAAAATACAGTAAATTAATGTAAAAAAAATGTGATACTATAGTAGGGCATAAAAAGTCCTAAAAAGCTTATAGAATATTAAGGCATAAAAAGTCATAAAAAAGTAAGTCTTAGTATAGTATGGCATGAAAAGTCATAAAAATGTTGTAGTATAATAGGGCATAAAAAGTCATAAAAACCTTAGTACAGTAAGGCATGAAAAGTCCTAAAAACCTCATAGTATAGTTAGGCATAAAATGTTATAAAAAATCGTAGTGTAGCATGGCATAAAAAGTTATAAAAAATGACATAGTATAGCAAGGCATAAAAAGTTATAAAAACGTCATTGTATAGTAAGGCATGAAAATTCATAAAAAAATTCACTGTATAGTAAGGCATAAAAAGTCATAAAAACCTCTTATTATATTAAGGAATGAAAACCACACCTGTGTGGAACTCCAGTAGATTTGCTTATATCTAAATACTGGAGAGGGTGTTTACTCCTCAAACTGTGATCAACATTAACTCACAATTGCACCTTCAGTGTGCCCAAAACTGTAGGCGTACATTTTTCTAATTCGTTTATTTTATCTATTTATTAATTTTTTATATTTTACTGTGTTTAGTAAACTGTTAGTCATATTTTATATAAACTGTATAAAGCTATTTCTGCTACTGTAAGGAATATATTTTTATCTACCTTTATTTTATTTTAATATCTTAATATTTTTTGTGTGAAATGGTCTAATTTAAAGACATTGGCTCATAGAAATAATCACCTTATAAAAAGACTCTATATGTCAATTCTGTGCCCTCAATGATCCTGACTGTGACCACAGGACTAGAGGCATGTCACAGGACTTTCATATAAAATCTGTATTTTAAATACTGACATGTCATGACAGGAATAGGTGAATTGATCAGGTGTTAATTGCACTTTGTTGTGTTGTGTTAATTCCTTATGGTAACAACACAAACAACCAAACTGGAAGACACATTTCTCACAGTCTGACAATGTTTTTTAGCCATTTCAGTTTCATGGCACAGCAGGTGATTAGTTGATCCACATATGCTCAAGAGGACACACAGCTCTGTTCCTGTTGCCCTGCACTCACACACACACACAGACACACACAAACACACTCTAATGAGCCTTTTCAGATGACACAATGATCCGTCTCTGTGAAGTGAAGAGAATGACATCACAGTTATGGCCTTTCTGTAGCTCCACAGCGGCAACACTGCCAAGACTTGACAGCTGCAACTGTCTGTCTGTGTGCTGGACATAAACAAAGCACACACACCATTACACACGCACACACACACAGCACTCAACCAGCATCCCAGCAGCTGTTGCCATGGGCGGAGCAGCGATTCAATCATTTGCTTGCACAAAGATTCCTGCGATGTTGTTGTGAACAAGTGTGATCAAATCTGTTCCCAGTGACAACTGCGCTGATTCACAGATACATGTTGAGTCAACAGACATGTTGTCATAACGCAAACAGAAAAATGTTAGAATTGACACATGCTCACATACTTGACATACCGCAGATGTGTGTAGACACACACACACACACACACACACACACACACATATATATATATATATATATATATAAAGCGTGGTGATGTGAGATATTATTGTTTTGAATTATCAGACTGAAAATGTTTGAGATTTCCTGATTACTGATTTATGCAATTTTATTATGCCGTAATATTATATTTAATCATAACATTTTAGCATCTCATTATTTCATCATTACATAACATATTATATAACATGTCATTATCATCAAGCTTTCTTTCCTTGCTCCCATTGTGTAAGAAGAAAAGGTATCAACACATTGCTGTTGTTGATTAATCAATTAGTCAACAGAAAAACTAATCAGCAACTGTTTTGATAGTCAATTAATTATTGATTGATCATTTTTAAAACAAAAATCTCAAAATATTTCCTTGATCCCACTCCTCCAAAATGAGGTTTTTCTGTTTTTCTTTCACCACCTGGGAAACTGTGATGAGCCACTTTTACCATTACATAACTAATTGATTAATTGAGAAAATAATCATCAATTGATCAATAATGAAAATAACTGTTAGTCAGATCTAGACCTAATCTAGATCACCAGAAAATTACCCTTGGAGTTGTCACAGTTATGTGACACAAGTGATCTTATTTGTGTCAGTGGAGCAGCTCATCACTCACACACATCACACACATCACACACACACACACACACACACACACACACACACACACACACACACACACACACACGCACACACTAAATCCAATTCTGGATTCTTCTGCTTTTGGAGTTCACATTGTAACTCATAACTATTATGGGAATTTTCTACTGAGGATTTCTCAAATACTGTAATTCACTGTTTGCACATCTGTCTTAAAGCAATCTTACAATCCTTTGTGTTGGTATTCCTCCGCTGCAGCTCGGCGAGCAAACACTGTGCAGGGAAACAGAATAAAGGATGTTTGTACTAAAAAGATAGGAGCTTTGGAAATGTACACATGATTTGTCTTACTCGGACAGCTGAAGTCTAATATTAGATAAACTTTGAATATGTTTTCACTCAGAACGTGGGCTCTGTAACTTTAGAAAGGGATCTCTTATGGGCAAGTATGGACAGGACACAACACCTCTCACTGCTCATATGAACACCAGACTGTTGTTTCAAGACAGACTTGATAAAGAGTGAACTTATCCTTTGAACAGCATAGACAAATTGTTAAGTAAAATTAACTGTGTACAATGACAGGCAGGATGTAGGAAAACATAAACTAAAAATATTAAAATTAAAGGTAGATTATAAAAATCATAATGTTAACATACTTTGTTCTTCTTTCAGCTTCACACATTATAAAATAAACAGTTTTTTCTTGAACAATAATCAACATATACATATTTCCACAATGATTGATATTCTGACACAAATGTATGACAGGTTTTCTAGAGCTATAACCGTCTCTATTCCTCTCCTGTAGTACAGGCCTCACAGCAACCCCTGCTGGCTGAACTCAGTCATGAGTTTCAGGGCCAAAGATACCTGCAGTGCATCACAGCCAGGTCTGAAAGAATTACTACAGCCTCTGTTGTCTATCCTCAGTCTAACAATAATATTGTTTAAATGGAACTACAAAGCTTACAGTTTACAATCCCCTTACCTATTGTACAATGTTTGCATGTATCTTAAATATTCACTTCTTGTTGTTTTTCCATCATATTTAAATTCAAACCTCAATGTCTCATCTAATTTATATTCATGTGCTGTGTCATTTACAAAGGCACTGTGGATAAAAGACCACAGTTTGTAAGGTGAACAGGAGTTTAACAGATTATTGATGATTGACAGGTAGAGAAGAACATCATCACTGCAGACTGATGGTGATTATTTAAACTGTTCTCTACATCCTGTGTTTACATATCCTGCAAACTCAGCCTCCAGGTTTGTTTCCTGGTCTGATGAGAGGAAGCTGAATGCACATTTCAATTAGGCACAGCAAAGTATCATATTAGACAGAGAGTCTGAGGAGGATGTCACACTGTAAATATATAAATCCCACTGAGCCACACACACACACACACACACACACACACGCGCACACACACACACACACACTGACACTGCAGAGCAGCAGGATTAGCAGCTCTGTTACAATAAATGACGGCAGATTTTCTCCAACCTGTTGAGGATGAAATATGACGAGCAGACTGATGAAGAGACGGAGATGAGGCGGAACTGGTGGGCGGACAGTCAGACAGGTAGACACAGTGATGCCTTGACTGACTTATTGTTCGTTAAACTGGCGGGCGGATGTGACAAGCTCAGGCCGTGACGAACTCTATGACTGTTATCTGAGTCACCAAACAACAAACTCCTCCACATGCATTTGCAACTTCTCTCTCCCACTCAGGGCTTTTCTTCCACACACATATACTTTTATATACACACACACACACACACACACCCACACTGTCATTACCATTGCAGTACAGTCCTCCGAGCAGCTGGCCAGGATGTTGTCATCATGAGGGCACCAGTCAATGTCGAGGACCGGTCCAGCGTGGCCGACCACCAGCGGGTAGCTCTTATCCACACGACCTGTCTGCAGCGCACAGCAGCAGTGACACACAGGAGCAAGTTAGGGCCGTGTTTGTACATACAATTGCTTAACATTAATATTCATCTATTCGTCATAACTAAGTGAAAAACTGAAAGTGAGTTTTTTAGACATGCAAAGTTACATGTAACTGTTGTTTTGACAGCATCTTAGTGGCTTTATTTCAATGTGATCCAAACAGATTAAGACTGAAAGCTTAGTGTTGAGTCTAAAGTCCATTTAGCAGCTTCTCCCAGCTTTCGAGCAGATCACAAATCTTCTGCAACACATACAGATTGTTTGGTTGTCATGTAATTCTGCATCTTCTAATAGTTTTTCTTTTTCTTTTTGAGTATTTTAAGGACTTTATCCAAATGGACCTTGTGGAGAAATTATTTTGTTTTCTATTTGAAATTCTCACCTTGTGGTGAGACAACGGGTCGGGAAACTACATGTTTAAATAGAATCATTGAAATGCTGTTGAAACAACCATGGATTTGTCCTGTTAGCGGGTCACAGTTGGGGCCCTCATTGACAGGCCACCTCTTGCCCTCTGTGCATTGAGTTTGTGCCCTATCTGCATTGCAGTGCACACAGCATAATATGCATGTCAGGTATTGTAAAAGAGACACAAATGTGAATGTTCAGGCAGGATTGAATCTATAAGAGTCTGCTCACATCTCAGCAAAGTAATTTCCTCATAATTTAGAGCAGTTTAATAAGACGGTTCGGCCAGTGTTATTAGACTGACTCTGTGAAAACTGACGACCAATGTCCAGTGTTCTGTCTGAATGGATCTCTCGTGTAAACAAGACCAAATGTGGCCGTCAAAACCTTCAACCAAAACCCCCAGTATCATGGTGGACTTCCAGGACACAGATAAAACCAGACATTTTTTAATATGCAAACTAAAATCATGATGCCACTTCCACTTTATTTCATCTTCCCCTGCTCTTATCTTGAACATTTGTATCAACTTCTGAGCTATCTCTCCCTCCACGCACACACACACGAACACACACCAAAAACACACCCCAAGAGAGGTGTATTTATAGCTGAGCGACGAGGCGTTGAAAGGGGAGTTTTTCTTGTGGCCTGTTGGGGACCCGGAGGGGGGAGATGGAGGATGGAGAGCACGTTGGTGTGTATTAATAGCATGTCTGTTCACCATGACTCCAATATATAATCACGTCCACTTCCCAGTGTCTCCAAAAAACTCTGTGCATTATTCTGTGTCACTAATTACCACCGCTGATATGCGAGTTGATCACCTTGTTACACCTATGACATTTCTAAACTGCTGTTCATTCCCCTCTTTGTAGTCCAATTATAACACTTTCACAATTCTCATGTGGCCTAAAGTTATTTAAAACAGGAAGTACACACATGATTTACAGTCTCCAGATACAACTATAATATATTATATTATTATTATATAATTTTTCAAAAACTACTGTATTTTTTTGTGACTGAAGACAATTAACTTCTGCTGGACTGTGATTGGCAGCTGGTGTTAGCATCCCGGCTCAAAATGAAACCTGCTGAGTGGAGGTATCTCATGGGGCAGGTCAACTCAATTGCTGCAGCACTGGCTGATTACAGCGGCGTCAGCGGTTATTTGGAGAGCTCCACCTTGAGCTGTGATCTGCAGCTAACTTGACACATTGTGAAACTGGCTGTGAAAATAGTTTTTTGAATATGTAATAACTGAGAATTTTACCGCAGTACTATTGAAGCAACTTCAGCAATTAAATAGAGATTTCAGATAATTGTGTTTGTCATATCAAACCCAAACTTACAGCTACTTTACTATTTTAGCCTCTAAAATGCATAAAATGTGATATGTAGTAGCGTTAATCTATTTTACTTTGATAGGATGACTGGAGTTGCGTATTTCATAACATGATAATGGGTAGGTTTAGTTTTGTCTTTGTGGTGTTCATCGTTTATTTTAAGGCGATGTTGTTATCATCATGAGGCGCGATGAACTTTAACACCACACTGAAGCATCGCAGCTTTAAGCGCCTGATCTGTCTCGACCTGTTGCTTTTCCTGTCGCTGTATTTCTGTTTCAGCAATTATGGTGTCCTTCCCAAGGCCAAGAGCAAATATTATGTCCTCTGCTGTTAGACTGAAAACAGACTGAAAACATACTAGTCAAGTCAATCTCGAAGGATGAGACATAAGATTTATTTTTAGTGTTTTTCAAATATCTGAGGCAAAAGAAAATATTTAATCTCAGTAAAGAGCTGCCAGTCCTCTTCACTCTCCCTTTTACAGCCTGCTGATTATGTCACACATCGACCCTGTTATAGCTACTTATAGCTACTTATAGCTAAACATTACAGAGCGTTCAGTTACTGAGACAAGCCTCCTTACAAGATTAATGCTTAGTCATGAAATCTGAACCGATCAATACAAAGAGATACAATGATCTGAAACCGAAGTGGCCACACAGATTTTTAGATGATGGCATTGCCTTGTGTGTCCTTGATGAGCTGAACAATAATGTCAGCTCATGAATGCTGAGAAACAAGGAAGCCATCTTTGCTTCCCTTTTTGCCCCTTTTTCTCTTTCCCCTTCCCAAGCTGATAGCATAGGTTGACTGACACATCAGTTTTCTTCCAGCATACCAACTGACACGTAATAAAAACACATTTTGAAAATTACTATCATCCTCAATCAATATTTTAAACACACACAAATACTTTCCAAACAGAAAGGCATGTTATGTTATCAGCATGCTAATAGTTGCTAATCACCAGGAAACACAAAGTTAAGTTGAGGTTGATGGAAATGTCATTAGATTTGCTTTGACCTTACTGACCTTAGAGAGGGGCAGGACCAGGAACGCTCCTCCGCCACTGGACTCAACAATGACTGCCAGGAACTTTGGGTTGACGGCACAGAAGGAGCTGTCCCACGTCACCTTGGAAACGCGAATGTCATCGTAACCCTGCTCAGCTTTGACCGTCTGGCCAAAGACATGGCGAAACTTACTCTGCCGCACAATGCTGCGACTCATGGCTGAGGTGAGAAGAGGAAGGTAGGAGGATGCAAAGGTGAAGAAGGGATGAGAGGTGGTAAAATTTTAGGGGGAAAGTGTGAAAGGGAAAAGAAAAAAAATAGAGAAGACACGACTTTCATCATTAACATTCATTACAAACTTCAGCATCATCAGCCATCAAATTCAACTAAAACTAAAATGACCAGCAGAGAGTTATGTGAACAGTTACATACATTTATGTTTGGCCAAAAGTGTTGCGTTTACTTGACTTCACGTGAATCATTTTGTGACAGAGATCCAGGTGATTTCTTTTGGAAATACTGAAGAAAACTTGAAGCAAACACAATTCGATCAGCTCTCATCTCTTCCAGGAAGGAGACATTTCACAGAAAGAGCAAACAAACAATGCTGTCCAGGAAGCTCTTCTCAATCTGTACCTTTTATGCTTTAGATCTTCTTCTACAGCATGTAGTCTGTAATTGTCATAAGTATCAAGTTATTGTGGAGGCAGGTTGTTAAATAATGTTTGTATCAATTAATGTGCTGTTTTTGCTGTTCTTGTTTTCAAGGTTTGAAATGATTCAGTAACTCAGTGACGCTTTCAAGCTCTTTATTTTGAAAGTTCACAAGGCAGTTCACTCACCTTTGGTATTTATTTTATTCAGATTGAAAGACATAAAGTAGATAAGATATTTTCTCTGTGTCGTGATAGCTAGGACTGAAGTTCTTCTTTTGTTTTCTATTTCACTTATATTTATATTCATTGCACTGGCACAGGCACAGGCATATAATAATATAGTGTATACTTGTATATCACTTATATGGGTCTTTTTTCTGCAGAACAGATACTTTTACTTTTGTACTTTTACTTGAGTAAGCTTTTGAATGCAGGACTTTTACTTGTAATGGAGCATTTTTACACAATATCCATCGTTATATTTAGAAGGCCTTGAAAACTTTCTCAGTCTACTTACAATGAGTGATGGGATCCATATTAACTTGTTATTTCCAGTGGTTTGGTCACAGTTTTTGGTTATTTTACAGGAGAGATAACTGTGGGTGGGAAAAGGTTATGTAACTTCTGTGGACCAATCAGGATCCAGCAGTTAACTGGTTGTTTCTTCACCGTCAATCAAATCTGATCAGACCACACCACAGTCCTGATAAAGCAGATAAGCTATATATTTAAAAAAAATAAAAAAATAAATACTTTAAGATCTTTCTTCTTTTCAACTTGTTGGTTATTGAGTCATGAATATTTGATGTTGTTAAAAATTGAACATTTGAACAGCGAACCAAGGCTGTAAATAAGTTATCTGTAAATAACCTTCTGCTTTTCTCTGAATAATGAATGAACTCAGTATTGTGTTTTTAGGCTGGTTGTTGACTGACAGCTTTCTGTCCTGCAGCTCTCCCAGGCACCAGGCCAGAGGGACTATAATCCTCCAAATCACAGGAGATATTCTATAACAGTGCCCACCATCAGTGGAGTTATTAATAGTTGATTGTCCCACCAAACACTATGTGATAGTCGAACTTCAAAGACAAACGCTAAGACTCAGAGAGCGCATAAACACAGGGAGAGCACTTAATATATGACAGATACAATACCAGGGTGAAGTCAGCAATACACTGCACAGCAGTTACATCCATTCACACTCATGTGATACAATCCCTATGAGAATATATTTTAAAACATACAGTATCTAACATACATTCCCAGAATGCACTGGCTTACATAAGGCCAAAACTAAAAGTAGGCCTGTATCCGTCCCTGAAGACGTCTGATAAATGCAGCAGAGTTCTTCCTCTTGTTTAGTGGATGATATGGAACTTAAAACTGTCTGGCTCTTTAAAATAAAAGCACAAAGAGCAGCAGCTGAGTCCAGGGCTCAGTGGAACTTTGTTAATTTATCAGGCCTGTGATCAAGTGAACAGGAGTCCTGACCCCAATCCTGCCACAGTTTTAAATGACGACGTCTGACCTTCACACTAGAATATATATTACAACTCAGACCTAAAGACTGTGGCATACATGACTCAACCAAACTGATTAGAGGACAGAGGCTCTCGCTGCTTTCCTGGAAGCTCTCCGTTATCAAGAGATTTACATTCCAGCGACCACTTCAGGCGGGCCAGCTGTGGGGCATTTCAGGGCGAAGACTATATCATACATACGTGTATATATACATTCAAGAAAGTGGTCTCAGACTTTTAGACTCCACTGTTTATTTTGTTTTGATACTATATCAGAGAGTTGTTTATAGTAACAGTAGTTTAATTTTGTGTTTTTTTCCACCTAGATGTCCAGATAAAGTCCTAATAAACAAAAGAAGAAGAAGAAGAAGAAGAAGAAGAAGAAGCTCTCCTGCTGTTATGATGATCTCAAAGGCCAGAATCAAAACTAACTTGATCTTAAAATTACAAAATGGAAAATTAAAATACCTATTTAGTTATTGTGCATGCTTATAATCTGATTTGAACATGAACACATATTGATCATGGTCAAGTTTAAAGAAAGGGCTTTAAAAAACTCAAAAATCTAACACAAAACTAAATCAAGTAAAGAAAAGAAAAGTAAAGAGAAAGAAACGAAACGCTTTCTCTCTCTTTAAGTTGATTTTCAAACCACAGTTGAAACAGCAGGCTCTCTGACTGGAATAATGTCAGAGAGACTTGTATCTTTCAGGAAAGTGGTGGCAGATATGTGTGATTTATAAATTATGAAATTAAACGTGGAAAACCTCTGACATGCTCCTTTAATTCTCCTCAGGTTAATGAGATTATACCCTCCTCTGTCGCACACGGCACAGCTCTGGGGAGTCGAGACAGAGCGAAAGAATGACACTGCCACTTTCCTAATATAGACATGACAAACTGCACTGTCCCACCCGGGCCGGCCGCTCCTCCCACCCGCCTGCCTGATCCTAAATAGTCCCACAATGAAGCCAACGCTCTCTTTGGTGCTTAATCGTTAATGAACTGACCGTAAATTTAAACAGCCGATGCGCACAAACACACATAAACACGGGGAACATACAGGCTGACAGCGGCGCAGGGGGTGTGAGGGAGGGGGGTCGGGAGGGGGGGGGGGGTTAGAGGGCTAATGTCCAACTGATCCTTGAAGTAGCCTACAGCTGCTGCCATGTAAGACTCAAGACCTGCTCTGGGACGTGAGTAATCACAATGTAACGACTTTTTCTATCAGGATTTCCAAAGGTGGGGACGCGCTCACTCCTCTCCGGCAGTGCAGTACAGAAGCTGACGCACCTCTCACCCCACTGCAGCACCGACACTGACACACGCATTAGGAAAGATAGTCCACAAGACAACTCACCTCAGGTTTTGGGGAGACCCCTCTTCCCTGGACAGCTCTAAGGGTTTGTGTTGAATAGCGCACTCCTCCTCCTCCTCCTCCTGCTGATCTTTATTCCTGTGAATGGTATTCCTCGATGATCCGGCTTCCTGGAGTTGGTGCGGACTTGCTGAGGAGACGCACTGGACAACTGCGTTACGCTCCTCGGCAGGGAAAGAGAGAGGGGAGAGGACCGGGGCAGAGCAGGGAGAGAGGAGGGTGGGTGCAGGGTGGGTGCCGTCTATTTTGGAACAGGCTCTGTCAGTACAGGGAAACGTGACGCGCGCTGGTTACAGGGGGCCAGCGCGTCCCCGGGGGTCAGTGTCACAGCTGGTGGGCTCTGATAGAAGAACTGTGACTTTAACAGGTAAATAAACGCACACAGGTGACCCCTGATCTCCGATGCTGCCTTCAAGTGCCCACAGTTGACTCCTGAAACTAGCTTCTTTCTGTTTTTGTATTGGTACAAGGTGATGATCAGAGCTTTAAAAAAACAAAACAAAACAGCACTTACAAGTTGACCAAAGATCATCTGTAGATTGAGTAAAGCTGAGTTTGTGGCATCTAGGTTTATATCAGGTTATTCTTATTTCTCTTTACCAACATGCAGCTCAGCACAATAGTTACTGTCATATCCAATGCAACCAAAACACTCATAACAAAATGGCCGTAGCATTACATCACTATTGTCTTGGAGAGAGATTTTATTTATTACCTTTTCATTTATTTTTTATTTATTGCATAAGCCAAGATTCCATTAAAATATAATTTCCCCTCCACTGGTTCTCAGCATAAATTCCAGCCACAGAGTCAGTGTTCTCTGTTAATTATGTTTGTCAGTGGTTAGTAAAAATAATGCACCTTACACCTTAGTGTCACATTCACAGCAAGAAAAAGAACAGAAAACATTTTTCTAAAAGTTGAGCTGTACAGATACAGTTTGTACATCTCTGGAGAGAAATATAACATTTCTCTTTATTTAGATATTTCACAGGTGTGTTTTGCAAAATTTAGGTTAAAGGAAAATAAGTTCACTCAGTTAATCTGATGCCATTTTGTATATGTTGCTGTGTTTTTTGGAGGTTTATATTTATATTTAAGATGTATTAACTCACACAACAAACTGACAGTTTTACAGTCTAACTGAAGCTCACATTGTTGCAGCTACTTTATTTGCTAAACAAGAGGATACCTTTTTATCTATTATATCTAATTAATGACAAGCAGACAATTACAATTTACCAAAATGCTTCACCTGCACTTTGCAGTTTTTAAACAGTTTTCACTAAAACTACTTTTTACCAAGGGAAAACACTTGATAATCTGTTCTGTGTATGATCGAAAAAAACTGAAGCAGTTTTCCAAGTAACAGAGAAAATACTCACCGCATAGAATGAAAAACCATCATAATGCTGCATGACATGTTGCGGAGGGACATTTCAGATGAACTAAGGAAGCATTAACACATTCAAAGACGGAGATGAGCTCCTCTGACGCTGCTACATGTAAGCAGAATAGAGCTGATTCTCTAAAAATGACAATTTCGATGATTGATTAATCAATAATTAGTCACTAAACATGAAAAAAATGCCAAACATTGTCTGGTTCTAGTGACAGAAATGTGAGGAGTTGCTCCTTTTTCTATTTCATTTCAATGTAAACTGAAGATCTTAGGCTGTTGAACTGTGGAGACAAAAAAATAAATAAATAAATAAACAATCTGAAGTTGTCACCTTAATTACTGCGAGATGTGAGGTTTTTACTGTTTAGTCTATAAAATATCAACAAATAATCTTAAAAAGAAAAATCTTAATAACATCTAAACTGTTATAAAGTTGTCTATTGTATTGTATGAAATATAAAGTATTCAGGTATGAAAAGTATTCAGGTGTGTCTCGATCTTCCATCACTGTAACAGACTCACAGCAAAACTGACTCTACATAATTTCCATTGTTTAATGGTCACAGTTGAAGCACATGATATAAAAGAATATTTACACTGATAGTTTAAAATAAAGAAAAAAAAAAATCAGTTTTTGACAATACACACACACATACCCAACAGCTTCTACTACCTAAGCATGCTCCCCAAAAGTAGCAACCACACATTAAAAACTTAAAATTAAGCCACATTTAAAATTAAAAAGGGAGTAAAGTGCATGTATGACAGACTCCTCTGTACAGACATTTCTGATAGACTGCAGAGAAGCTTCATTTGCCAGTCACAGGCACACTCCTAAAAAGTGTACAAAAGAGATAACGTTCAATAAAAAAAAGAAGAAGAAGAATGTACACACCCACATGGTGAAATTGTGCTACACAGTCGCACTCACACATGGACACGAAGCAGATATAAAAACATGTACAGTTCCTAAATTGTCAACACTCACAATATAGACCTTTACATCCCCAAAGAGAACATAGCAGATGACCCAATCCCCTAACCTAACCTTCCTCCCACACAGTAATACACACAACAAAAAAAAACAAAAAAACATCTAGTCTGAGTGGCATGAGAACTGTGAGAGGACATGAGAGAGACAAGTTTACTTCAGTTTATCAAGTAGTGGAATTGAAATTGTTTCTGATTGAGACGGACATTCCAGGAATCCAGAGCCTGACGTTTGTGCAGGTCAGATTTGGTTCAGACGTACTGAGGTATTGTGTAGTCAAAACAAACATAAAAGAAAACAGCATGCCTCTTCTCTTTGCAATTTGTTTCAATAAACCGCTGTACAGCTACGCAACCACTTTCAGTTGACGGTCCTGTCACCAGCTCCGAATGCACCTTTCTTTGGGGGTAAAACACTAATCTGTGGTGTCTGTGCTTCGACCTGAGCTTTTGTGTGTTTCGTTGCACAGCCAATGCATAAAATCAGCCTCAAAACAGCAGAATTGAGTAAGTGGTGTTTAAGTGGAGTATTTCTGTCAAATGAATCAAAGTTTTATCTTTAAATGTGCATTTCTGAACGTTTGAGAAGCTTGATGCTGAATTGAATTTGGGCAGATTCATTTACCGTCGGATTGTACCAGAAGCACAGCTGTATCATTCTCTTGGTAGCTACCCAGCACATCTATGAGACATGAGATATGAAAGCACAAGAAGAGGAGATAGACAGGCTACATTCCACCTAACATCAGGTCAGACTATTCAGTCATCCAACAGCAATCAAGTAAATATCAAGTTGATGATGGAGAAACCAGCAATGATGTAACGACTGAGTGCGTGCAGGCTCAGGCAGAGTAACATTTGAAACAAGTTACCCATATACATTTGGATGACTTCTTCCAATTTGCCTCACTTTTTATTTCAGTTAAAACAGAACCTTCATAGCCTCGTCACTGCTCTTGGTCTGAGACAAACATCTCGTATCACAGATTTCACACAGGCTCTTGGCGAATCTGCAGGGAAAAAAAAAAAAAACATACAGAAACTACTAAACATAACCTTTAAGGCAAGAGGCATTGGTGTGTTTTGCTGAATAAATCCACCAAATGCACTTAATCTCCATTTCTCACAGGTGCACATTATCCCTGTCTGTCTCTCTCTCACTCACACACATACACACACACACACGCGCACACAGAGTGAGGGTTACATGGTGTGGTAAAGGTTACTGACAGTTCTTTTCTTAAGCCGCCTCAGGGGGTGAGTCCTTCCATATTGCTGCCTTGTTGTCATAAGTGTCAGCCCGGGTGAATGCAGAGAATCTTGGCTGGAGTTGGTGACTTTTCCTCTCTGCTGACTCTGACTTGACGGTGGAGAGATTCCTGGTGACGTTTCTCCAGCTTCAGAAAGCCTCTCCACACCAATCCCGGCGACTTCTGGCTGCTGGCCGGCTGTGGAAGAAGAGTCGTGGACCCGCTGCTTCTTGGACTCATCATTAAGTGTGTGGACTGGAGGTTGTGCTGAGGGCAGAGACACAGAGGAGCGGCTGAGCTCCCACTCACTCAGGTCATTGGCGAGCAGCTCCAGACAGCCCAGTTTGGCCAGAGAGGCTGACCGCTTCATCAGCGATGGAGGTGTCAGCCCTGCCTGGCGAATCCTGGCTTCCACCTCTCTGACCCTCTTCTGGATGCTGCTCCCTCGCTTCTGAGTGGTTCCACCGCTGAGGCTGAAAACCTGGTCTAGGCACCCGGTCTTGCAGGCTCCGCCCGCGCTCACCTGCTGCAGGAAGGCACCCAGCTCGCACAAAGTCTCCCATGTCTCCCTCATGATAATGTCACCATGGGGTCCCTCTGTGGAGCAGTCCCAGTCTGTGCCTGACTCAAGCTCCGTCACACCCTCCAGACACAGGAAGTTCACGGAAGCAAAGTGAGAATGGGTAAAGTGGTGGAAAGTAGAAGAGGTAGAAAGCAATCTAGTGTCAGCAGGCTGGAGTTTGTGTCCTTTTGTGCTTTCGTCTTCATTTCCTAGTGCCCCCATCTCAACTGCGTCATCACTCTCCCTTTGTACTGGTTCAAACTTCCCATCATCCTCTTCCTGTACAGACACTGTCGCTGGATGGATGCTGGGCGAACGCCGCTGGGAGCAGGAAGTGCTACTGGAGAGGGGCGGCGAAGATGAGGAGGCTGACGGAGTCTCATGCTCCTGTTTCATTCTTTGTTCCAGCTGTCGTGTGACACGCCGCACGGACCCCCTCGTCCAATCACTGTAGAGACGAGCAGAATCCGCCTCCTCTTCTTCTTTGTTTTTCACTTCTTCTTTTACATTCTCAGCTTCCTTCTGTGATGAAACATCTCTGTCCTCCATTTCCTGCCTGGACTTCCCGACTTCCTGGTCCTGAGGGTCCTGAGGGCCCTGAGGCTCTGATTGGCTAAGAGGGCCAAGAGGTGAAGTCTCTGTGTTCACTGTGGGCTTCACTCCTGTGTCCTGCACAGGGACAGTCATTTCCTACAAAGAATAGACAGATGATAGAAAAATAATTCTGTTTAAATATATCCATAAAGTTATTCAGACATTAAAGACATTAAAGTAAAACAGATTTAGATGTGACAGATGCTATACATGGAGCATTCTTCTTTTACTCCACCAGGTGGCGCTCTTGAACTCAAGAACTCAAAAGCTAAACTACTGTCACAAATAAGTAGAGACCAAATTTAACTGCTGAGGGGTAAATACCCTTCCAAATATCATTAAATTATTTTGACAGTCTGTATTACATTACATCGACATCTTACATAAGCATGACCTTGAAAAAACAGACCGCAACATCTGCACACTTATCTCCATCGCATACACCCAAGTTAAGGCCTTCCTCAGAGCATGACAAGAGTCTGAGAGATGCTTTGAAGAAGGTCTATGTAGCACAAAGCTTTGGGCATTTGCAATGGAAATAAATGCAGTAGTTATGGAAAGTTTTGCTACAAGCAGCAGCCTCACCTTCCTTTTCTCCTCCTCCTTCCCGTCACTGGTGGAGACCTCCTGAAGCAGAGGTGGCTGTTCCTTGGCACAACTCTTCAGCTGGGGCGGCTGCTGCGCTACGGCACAGTGAGTTTTACCATCTTGACTCATTCCCTTGAACTTTTCCCTGGCACTGAAGAAGTTAATGTGATCTGCGCTGTTGCTGAACAACACATCATTGTCTTGTGGAATGGCACCGTGATAGCTGATAGTATCACCAGTGGAGTGAGGACGGGCTGCTACACCATCCAAAGACAAGCCACACATCTGTTGGTCACAGTCTAATTTTTTGACAGGCACTGGTGCAGACAGACACTGGGGTCCAGCGGAGTGTGTGCTTTCTATTTGTGTTGTCACATGCTCAGACACTGACACTAGCATCGGTTTTGCCACGGACAGAGGACAGGACAACGCATGTGGTTTGATAACCTCATCCACGCAGGCTGGAGTTGGGGACGGAGCGGGGGAGAGGGGGAGGTGGTGGAGGGATGGAGGTGGGTGAGGCTGGCCCACCAAAACACTCTGTGCTACAGTCACCATGTCTGTCTTTTGAGGCTCAGGCACCACAGTGGCTGCCCGCGGCTGGGAGAGAGGCAGTGATGAGGGCTGCTCTTCAGCATCACACAAGCCGTTTGAAAGCGGAGGAGATAAGGGAGACATGGACATGGAGGATTCAGGACAAGGAGCGAACAGCTGGCTGCTCTGGGCTACAGCAGAATGAGGAGGAGCCTCCAGGCTTCGAGCGATAGCAACTTTGGAGAGAGCTGCCACCCCCTCAAAGGATGAAGAGCTGAGCTGATTGGACTGGATGCCAGTATCAGGCTGGCTAGTGGAGTGTGTTGCTTTGCCAGCGCTGCTGGAGGTTCCCAGTGATTCCAGCAGTTCTTTCACAGAGGGACCAGGCGTGCCGCCGGCCTGGTTATGGGGGTCGGAGCGGCCCAGGCTGTGAGGCTGGGCGTAGGATTTAGACAGTGGCTCATGGTGCTCGGACAGGTCGCTGTCAGAGTGAGAACGCCACAGTTTGTTGTGTCTCTGCTTGCTGCGGGAGAAGGTGGGAATAAACAAAAAATATATATATTCTTAGTCTTCATGTCACTCCTATTCTCTTTATACAAACATACATACACGCCTTTAGTGTCATTTTTAAGGTCACTGCACTAATATTCAATTTCATTTCAGCATACTGATAAATATGATCAAGCACTTTAATGTCGTTTTAGTTGTGTGTGCATGTTTCGCTTTTATGCTAATGGCTGGTTTTATTTCATTATCATACAGTGATTTCATCACGCCACACTCTGAAATATACTTTTGTGCGTGCGTGTGTGTGTGTGTGTATTTATGCGGGTACCTGGCCAGCAGTATGCCCTGGTACTCCTCCAGCTGTCTCATAAATGAGGGGTTGGGTTTGGTCACAGCTCGACGCTCCTTGACGTAATCATGCGCTTTCTTCAAATCCCAGCCGTACTCCTTCATGGCGTACGCAATCACTGTGGCTGCAGAGCGGCTTATACCCATTTTACAGTGCACCAAACACTTGGACCCAGCTTTCCTGGTGTAGATATAAGGAATCAAGGATACATATTAGCCTGTCATTGTCAGCTGTTCTGTAAAGGAACAAAGTCCTACAAAAATAAAGACTGACGAGATCAGAATGAAAAGGCAAAGAAGGAGAAATAACCATTTGTTCTAACAAGACGAGAGAAAACAGAAGACGCTGTCATCAGAAACTCACTTGGCTCTAGATATAAACTTGTAGGTGTCATTCCAATAGGCGAGCAGGTCAGTGGCCTCCTCGTCGTAAACACGGATGTTGTGGTACTCAAACACACCAGGGAAGAAGTTATCGATCTCTCTCGTTACATTCAGGATGTACTGAACCCTGAGTCACAGTGACACAAAGATGAGAGAGGCGATTGGATGTGCGAGTCACACAGAGCCTGTTTGCTTAACAGACTGAAGAATTATTAAACGTTTTGTACACTTCTACCAAAATGATTGTTAGGCTCTTATCATGTAATACTTTATGTTTTCATTGACTTCAATACAGTTTGTACTGTGCAGTAGGTTTTGTTGCTTTTGTTCCCCTCCTTACCCGCTCTTCTGCAACTCGTCCAAATTGGATGCATTCCACTCAGATCCCTGTAGGAAACAAAAGCAATCCTCAGACTTGTTCAGAGCCTTCCACTGAGCTTTTCATAATGCTTAAATCCTGTGGCAAGACATGCCTGATATCCAACGTGCACTCCAAACCAAACAAGAACAAAGTACCTTAAAATTGGGAGCCACAGACAGCCTCATGTACAACCACTGTTCATACATTTTACTTAAAAATAACGATGAATCATTCATGTCTAAGAACAGAGACTTTCTATACTTGAGTGTTCTTATTAATTCATTTGTGATCTAGCTGTTATGTTCTGAGTCACCCTACCAAAAAGACGTGATCAAAGATCTCCGTGGGACTGTCCATCTGGCCCAGAATAACAATCATCTCATGGTCGATGAACTCCTTGAACTCTCGCAGGTTGCATGTCATATGCATTTCCAGCTCTGTTCGTATCTACAGAGAGCATTCAGACAGCACAAACAGGCAAACAGATAAAATCTTAAAAACAGCTCATTTAAACATAAATGCAGGAATTACATTTTCTTTTAAGTTAAATGCGGATGACTAAAAGGACGTCAAACATGTCTCCCTCTTTGGGAGGGACCCAGTTTGTTGCAAAAACTGACAGAATGCTTTATAAATTTCTGACTCACCTCTTTGCAGGTGACATTCTCAAGATCTTTCTGCATCATTATCTCCCTCAAACTGGTTTTGATCTGACGCTCTGTCAGCTCTCTTTCTGTAGGTCTGCAAAAACACAGTGACATTGAAATATGATCATTGAAATAAGTGCAAATTAATTTCTGTTTATGGAGTATTACTCCAAACATACAGTCTGCCATATGGAGGAGACTTATGACCAAACTATGGTATATTACACTCAATTACGGAATCGTAGTGAATTTATTTTCTAAAGTTACTCTTTCAATATTTGCATGTTAATGTAATTAAGAAAAACATAAATAATCATGATCACACTGTCTAGAAAATGACTGAAAAAAAGGGAGAAAGAAACGCACATATCAGAAAAGAGGACGGGCGAATCGGCACGGTGTGACTGCACATCCTGCATGGCGTTCCACTCATTGATGCGCGCCTGGTCGGAGGAGACCCTGCTTTGATAGTAGCTAACCCAGGTAAGGAACAAGCTGCCCGGGAAGTAGTTGTGACAGCGGGCCACCTCGCATGCTTTATGGAGTGACTGGAGGGCCGACCTGTGAATGACGAGTGAGGACTTTGAGATTATGACATAAAAAGGCTTTCAAGTGAACGGGCACATATTAGATACCAAGATGAACACTTGCTAACCATATAAGGAACCATTTCTACAAACTGGTGTGATTAGTGCAGTGACTCACCACATGGCCTGCACAGAAACAGGCTTGAAAACATGCACTCTGTTATCAGTTGACACACTGAAACCCCTGGGAGCAAGAAGAAAGGGAGCACAAAGGAAACATAAGACACTGTTAGCCATTTTAGCACGATGATGTTGTGATGGGTGTTTGCTCCGTGATTCAAGCATGATTTGTTGCAAGTTTTCTTACCCATCTCCGTCGAGGTGTATCAACGTGTCACTCCACAAGGGCAAAACCAAACCTACAGAACATGAGCTGGGAAGGAAAAAAAAATAGTCGCCATGTTACAACTTTATGCACAGTATCAAAACAGGCGGGCACATATAAGCTTGTGTATATTACTGTCTCACCTATCTACAGGACTGAAATCCATTCCCAGCACCACGCTCTCCTCCGTGTCCTGACGACCATTGGTGGAGACCACCACCATGTAGCGGGTGATGTGAGTGTGTGCGCTCTCCAAGCGAACCGCCTGGAGCAGGAAAAAACGCAGTTGGTCGACAATCTTAAAACTGAATTTTGTGTGTGTGTTCGTGTTATAGTAAGCACCCACCAGTTTGATGTTGTCCTCTGGTCTGAGGAGAGTGAACATGGTTTGTAGGTGCTGCTGGATGTCTCCTTGTAAGATGAGAGTGATGAAACACAACTTTGATTAGTGTCAAAAACTGCAGTTAAGTATAAAGGACACCTTATTTACCAAAAGCAGATCTGATACAGTCAAACAGTTCATTGTTCTTGAGGACCTCACCTGCATGTTTGCTGCGCAGCTGTGAAAAGCGAGAGGCAGAAGAAGGGGAGGAGCCATTTCCTCGAGGTAAGAAGAGAGCAGCTCCTTTAACTGTCAGGAAACTTTCACTGATGCTGGACAGACAGAGAGGAAAAATAAAGTGAGTGAAATCTGGCTCCAACTAAAGCAATTAAAAGAAAAAAATGTTAGAGAGCTAAATGGCACATTCAATAAGCCCCCAGCCCTCTGCAAACCTTCAAACAGATGCTTGTGTGCAGATGTATTGTTTGTAGAGTTGAAACAATTAGTCGATTATTCAATTAGTTCACTGACAGAAATATCTGCAAATCTTTGAGGAATTGGGATGGAATTTGTTTTCACTATTTTCTGATCATTTGTGGATTAAACTAATTGTATGTGTCATGAAAACATCTGGTGAATATTGAGTGTGAGGAGTTTTGTTCAAGGCATCTCAATAATGGTGATTTAATCTCATGTTTTCTCAGAAAACACACATGACATCCTGCACAAACCTCTTAGACAAAACAATAACGGAAAGATTTATGTGCCTTTATGAACTGGAGACACTGGACTGTACAGCCTGCAACACACACCAGCTGGTTCCAATAACGTCCAATAACGGACATGTTCATAAAATGACAGGAGGCACAACAGACTGAGACATATGGAGTTACAGAGGGGAAAGAACAAATTGTCCACCCAGTGAACCACTTCTCTCTTTTTTTTTTTTTTTTTTTTTTTACATGAACTTTTGCGTTTCTCAAACCAGCAGATTTACCTACAGGTCTTATCTTTATACTCTACAGGCAATTACAATGAACTTACTTTAAGGCACAAAACTGAACAACTACCTGGCATGAAATTGGCAAGTCTAAGCTAAGCTACTTTGCGATGCCGCTTTCAACAATAGAGTTACGTAATAGATTTAAGAAGCCCAATGCATTCCTTTGATTTTCACATTGCTCTGACGTTTATTGAATCACGGCTGAAATCGTAGCAAACAACTATCATAATCAATGTTGAACAAAGGGATTAAGTAGACCCGAAAGTGGAAGCTTCATTGTGTTTTATAACGGTGGAGTGAATGCAGATTCACCAGAGATCCCTGATTGTACATATTCGTCACTACACACTGAGGGCAGCAGTGGCTTTTGAAGTATCCAGTTATATATTCCCCAAATTATAAAAATGGATGTTAGAGATTTGATTTGTGACATCCACAGATTTGATGTAAATATTTGAATTTTTTGAATGCAGTCTCAATTAAAAAAAAAAAAAAAAAAAAAAAAAAATTTACAATATTTTTAAAAAAAAAAAAAAAAATCACATGGAACTGGATCTGGGGCACATAGCATGAATATCAGCAAGCATAACTGTCCCCCGGGGAAACTCTTTGCTTTCAAGTGGAAAAACCTTGACTTCCTCCCCAGCAACAGGGAATGTGCACACACGAAACACTGGCAAAATTGTCAAAATGACAAAATTAGACAGAAATTGTGAAAACCACCTACTACCCAGAAATATATAAAACACAGATAGATACATTTTGGAGGAAGATCCTCTGTCCTATATCCTGCGAGAGAGGACAGAGGCAGACAGCAGAGTCTGCACTCCTACACCAAGTGTAAATACGCACAAACACTAGACAGATGTCTTGTACGAATGTGAATAATGGGCAAAGTGGAGACAAACTGTGTCTTGACTGAGTCGATCAAACACATAAATTGCTAATAAATGCCAGTGTCCTTCCCAGCATTTGTCCTCTGAAGACTGAAGACTGTCAAGATTAATCACATCGTCTGATTCATGAACAATCTGTCTCAGGTACACTGTGTGCCTTTCTGCTGTGCCCCCACAAGACGCATTTAGGCACATCAAAAATGAGAAAAAATAAAAAATAAAATAAAGGCGGAGGGGAGTGTGTGTGTGTGTGTGTGTGAGCAGATGAGTATGGCATCTGGCAGACATTTCACAAGGAGCAAAGGGAAGGAAACCTCTTCCTCCAAGCCATTGACTCTGCTGTCATATCCTTCCCATTAGTCATCATGGGAAAACCACATGCCTTTGTCATAACAGATCACTGTAGCCAAATACTCAACTTAACGGTAAATGATAATATGAACTGCGTCAAGACAGGATATCTACAGGGATTTTCCAAGAAAGCTTCATGCCAACCACACACTGATGCACAAGTTGAATTAAGATTCTAGCAGCCTGCATTAGACATCTTACTAATGAGGCTGAGAGAAATACAATAGCCCAAAGATATTACTGTAAATCACAGTTAAACACTTATGACAAAGAAAGCCTGAGACTATAAACGCAGTGTATTCGATAAACTTACAGCTGATAAATTTCCCCCTGAGAGATCACGGAGTTCTCGGTGAAATAGGGTCTCATCTTCACCCCGCAGCACACGCAGAAGCAGCCGGCTGACGAGCTCCGTGGCGCGGTCACAACACCGGGAGGCATCGCTGCTCCGGTGGCGGTGCAGGGCGCACAGAAGCGGGATCTAGTTGCCGATAGTCCAACTACCAAGGTAGTTTTGAAAACGCAGAAGCTCTAGTGGAAGGTCTCACTTTTTCCTCTTAATGGACATTAATGGACATCGCGGATTTAGGGAATTATCCGTCAACACGATGTAAAAGAAGATACTTTAAAAAAGCTCGATAATAATATATTGACGACGAGATACTGACATATTTAACACATGCTAATGAAGTGCAGGTGCCACAACATCTGCTCAGTGGCTGTGTGTCATGGTCTGCAGCAGGATGCGGTAAATCCTGCCGCTGAAGGGGAGGAGACACACATGGTCCAATGGGTGAAAACAGCCGTCTGTCGAAGGCGGTATGAGGGATTATTAGTGCCACAGTGAGGGCTGGTGGGGTCCGTGGTTAACAACAACACAACTTCTAAACTTTGATCAGTAAAAATTTATGTTTTTGTAAAGTTACAAACAAACGAATAAAAAGAACAAACACTGTTTTATGCCTTCTGGGAATCTTTCTATGAAACTACTTTATCAAATCAGATCCGGATTATTCCACTATTTATTAAGACAAGGGTTTACATGGCTCCAAGATGTGGCAAGTTTTCTGTGCTTATTAGTTGATATACAGCAAAGTTTATACCCTCAAACTAGATTTTGATCCTTGTAGTAGGAATCTCTTGCGCTTCCGACATTTGCACCTTATCAATAAATAGCTAAAGTGAATCTTGTGCTCCAGTATCTTATTTGGGTCCTGTTTTTGAGAAGTGGCTCATTCAACCGTTTGTGAATTTTGACCTTCTTCAAAACCAACGGCTGAAAATTAAACAGACTTTCCGGGGCCCTTGGGAGTGTTTTCACATGTAGTCGATATACAAAGTAAACTCAGTCCGGTTAGAGTGGACCAAGTATACACAATATATTATATTGTGTTATTACAGTAATCCAGCCAAAGAAGTAAAATCTTTGCTTTTCTACTTAAGGAAACTATAGTTGATCATATCAGCAAATTATTAATAACCTCTATCACAGTTGTTGACATGCTCTTTTAGTTCCCCTCTTCCTTCCCATTTTTACCGCTTGAACTCATTTATTCACATTTGTGCAATTGTTGTATAACTTCTTCACCCTACTCATTTTCCTTTTCTGTGGCATTTATTCAACAGGCCACAGCTTTCCAGCCCAATTCAAATGAAACTATGTAAACTAAAAAAAGCAATCCCTGAGACTGAAAATGACTAGTTTGACTTTCTGTTATTACTTCAGTTTAATGAACACCTACTACACACAAAGACATACTTTTCTCTGCTTCAACAGATAGAACCTTCATTTCTCAGGAGAGGTTTTCTGGTATGGACTATTGTAGCTTCTATCAATAGCACCTGGCCCTACAGACAATTTTCCCTCTTCTCACGGTAACAACAGCATCAGGAACCTGGTAATTTAGCTTCCATGACAACACTTATCCTAATTAAGCCTTATTTACTCCCCATACCCACAGGGACATCCTCTGGAGAGTGTGGGCCACACACTGATCACATTTGTGTTGTCTGCACCCCTGCTGCTGGAGGAAGGTGACAAAGTTGTGTAACCAACTCTAGGACTGTAGCCTTTAGGGAAAATTCTCACCGGAGTCAGTGACACTTGACACCTAATGCACTACCGCCTCCAGCAAGAGCAAAACAACAACATAACAACAACGGAAAAAAGATTGAGAAATCAAAAAGGAGACATCAGGCGACCCGTGAGCAGAAACTTGACCTCAGACTCGGTTATGCTGCTTGTTGATTCCTCGTGGTTTCAATTTATAGGATAGATTACAAACTGAGGGTAAATGTGTGGCCACCATCTGACTCCCAATTCATACCACAGGATAAACAACAACTGCAGTGATGTTTTTCTTTTAGGTCTATCTGTGACATGTGTTATGTTGCAGAAGTGTGTATGGACTGTGTGTGTTTTTGTACACTTATCTGCTGACCTTGATCCTCCTTGACCAAGCAGCAGGGAGGCATGAATTCAAGCAAGATGAGGAGGCTTGATCTGCTCCATGATGTTACAGGCTTTGACCTCTCAGTGATCTTTGCAAGCAGAAGATCGTTTATTCATTAGTCCTTTGAGTCGCAGGTGTGTACATGAGATGGTGTCACACTACTGTCAAATATTAAGTGGAAACATAGAAGGAGACAGAACTATAAATACTGTATATGTTTAAAGCAGACAGAGCTTACACTAATGAGACTTAACTACTGATTAGGGGCTTTCATCGTTGACTGGCAAGAGCTGCTTAATCTGACAGTTACCCAATCAAACCCTTAACTTCCTATTCAACTTTCCCACCACAGCTTTCCTGTCTAGGCATTAAGCTGCTTTCTCCTTCTCTGACAGACATTTGCTTTGATATTAACCCCCAAAAAAATCTCTTCCGTCTCCCTATCTGCTCTCATCCATTAAGGAATACTTGTAACATCTTTTGTAAAAGTATTGTAGGTCTAGCCAGGAACCATCATGGGCCATAAGCCTGTCCATGCGGCCCGTGGACTCTCAGCAACGACATGTTTACGTGTGTGTTTTTGGACCCATCTCTCAGGTACTGCTCTCTCATTTGTCTGCTGAAAGTCACACCGGCCAATGACAGGCAGTGAAGGCCAGTATGTGGCTGTTACATGCAGACAGACACCTGACACTCCTCTGTTGCTCTTATGTCTCCATGTGTACGTACACACAGACAGTCGCCTTAGGGATCACATCACATATATAATACAGTGCACCCATGGCTATCCTTTACCTTTTGATTTGAAGCACACACATTCTAGTCTTACACTTGCTGTGTGACAAAATGCATTCCCTTGACCCTTACCCTAACCTTAACATCACAAATAAATGCCTAACCCCAACCCTTACCCTTACCCTTACCTAAACCTAAACATAGTTCTACCCTTAACCCTAAAATCAAGCTCAACCCTCACACAGCCCTCTGACATTTTGAGGACTGGCTACCCACACACAAATACACACACAGGGGGCCTATATTAACTGACAGTGGGCAAGAGGTGGGGGACACCCTGGACAGGTTGTCAGTTAATCACAGGGCTGTAAAGATAACCATTCATGCACACATTCACACCTATAGGGTGTCACTTAGAGTCACTAATTGACCTAACCTGCGTGATTTTAGACTGTGGTAGAAAAGTAGAGCATTTAGGGCGCCGGCCGACTGGCAGGTGCAAACACAGAGCCTTCTTGTTGTGAGGAGACACTGTGTACCATCCGAGATTACAACAGAGTCAAAGAGATTTATCAGAGTCAGACTCATATGTAAACTGGAATGCAAATGGAAATGTGTAGAAAAAAACAGACAGAGGAAAAAAACTTCAATTGAAGTGCAAAAATAAATTGCTCTTCCTCCCTCTGAATTCCCTTTAGGAGGTACACCAGTGACGTTGCTGCTTTAGCTGATGTCACTATCCTGCTGATGTCAGTTACTTTAATCAGTAGGACTGCAGTGGGCCCTGTTTACGCAGACAGAGACACCGCATCATTTCAGCCTTCCTCCAGTCTGAATTACAGTAGCTACCTGTGTCAGAGACGAGCCCTGCTGCTGCAGTTGCTGATGTCTACGGCACAACGGGCAGCCTCACAGACGACAGCAGTGTGCGTGAAAACCAGCAACCTGCTCCCAAGATTTTAGGTACATTAATTCAGTGTGTGGGCTTACTTTCACTGAACTGTTTTTGCCTCGTTGCCAGCACACCTTTTGATCATTGGGATGTGAATACACTACACTGCAGCAAGGACAGAGTCAAATGTAAAACACATTTTTCTATTTTTGACTACTTCCATCTTTTCTATTTCTGTAAAACATGAAAACGTATTTTATTTATTTATTTTATACATATTTAACTCATCATGAACTTGGGGGTGGCTACATAAATGTATGCAATCAGATGGGATTTGTAATGAGTAGCTAACCCGAGAGGGGTTGAGTGACCTAATAACAGGTGATAGGATTTCACTCTGGAGTATGTCACAATACAGAAGACATTAACTTCTGTTTCACTATAACAACAAACCAGAGAGAGAAGAGAGAGACAGATGATACAGAGAGAACTCCTGGTGCCATCTACCCACCATAACACCTCATAACACCACGGCACCGGCCGATTTACTACTAAACAACATGGCTTTTGAGCAATGTATGAAATCAGTGATTGTGGAGGTTATTAGGTCAGACGACCGCTCGACAACAAATATGTGTCTCTTTTATTGGATACGATACGAAGGCTTTTCTCTTGTGATGCTTCCATATTATCAAACGGTAATGGTCCCAAAAAACTGGTGAACATAAAATCTGCTTAATGACTGTGAGGAATAAAACTGAATTCCATTACTTTCTGTGCTGCAAGAAATTATGTGATGCTGCACTTTGGATGTCCTGAATCACTGTTGTGCATAAATGGCTATCCAGTTAGGTGAATGTCTTGAAATCAAGTTTCACATAGAAAAGTCGACAAGACGTGAACCATCTAACAACACTCCACCATGCAGGTGACAAACAAGTTATAATATTTCCTGGCCTCTGCAGACTGGATTAAACCAGCCTGATATACACAGCTCTACATTGGTATAAAAGAAATTCAAAGAGGTTTGCAGCTATTCTTCGAACAAGGCTCAGCTCTGCAGTAGGGACTTGATATATAAGCTTCTTCAAAAAAATGGAATGGCATGTCCGTACAAGTAACAAGGTCATAGTGTTACATATTCCATAATTGGGTCTAAGAGCATGCAGTCAAATCAAGCATCAGGGGACCCATGACTTACCCATACACACACATGTGGGAGTATAAAAGGAGAGCATTAAGGTCAATGGTCAAATTATCTTTGGACTTCAAAACAAGATACTGAAAATAATATTAGATTACATACTGTAAATCAAAATGACATCTGATCGTATCTCTGTGCAAAAAAACACACACACACACACACACACACACACACACACACACACACACACACACACACACACACACACACACACCCAAACATACACACGCGCGCACACACAAACACACACAGCCCTGCTATGTGAATATAGATTTCACTCCCAGCTGCACAAATACAGACCGTCCTCTCAGTTGGATGGCACAGAGCTCCAGTGACCAGACACAGAGGCACTCTAACTTCGGGAGTGGCAACCAATCAGTCTCTGGATCAGCACTGCAGCTACCCTGACCCACATACCCAAAGCTGACTCACAGGGAACTTTCTGCCCTCTAATGGACAGTCAGCAAACCACAGTTAATTACCTCACACATGAGAGGATTTCTGGATTTCATCTGTTATCGTAAGAAAAAAATAAAACAAAGGCGAAAGTGCTACTGCAGCTAAGGTTCATTGGTATCACAAGCATGTAGAACAAATAAACTTTCTGATTGCTGGCAGATTATAATCAGTTGCAAATGTGGTTGAGTAAAACAGGATAAACCAGATTCTCAATTCCAGTTCAATGCCCGAGGCAGCAAGGGACAGCAGGGGGCTGCGACACTTTACTACCGCAGCAACTCTATGTCGAGTCACAACAGTAAAAGGAGAAAAAGTCCTGCAGGCTCCAACACATGTAAGGATTAATCATCAAGTGCTTCTTCAGGTAAAATCTATTTACTGTTTCCAGTCAGGTCAGGTCAAGTGTGGGGTCAGCAGCAACCAAATAATATGCCCTGTGTTTTAATTCATGGCTTAAATCACAAAGGAGAAATATCGGTCAATATCTTACCTCCTTGGCTGAGAGCGGCGGTCATCCTCCCCACTACCGGACTCCTAGAGAGAGAGATAATGAGAGAATTACATTTAATAATGTGGAAGTTAAGAACAACATTAGAAAGTCAACAGCTGAGGTAGAGATAGACAGAAACATAACATAAGACGGATGTCAATATATTACGATAATTGTTCCAAAGATGAGTCAATTAATCAATTAGGTGATCAAAAGAAAAGTTATCTGATGTTTTATAAAATAAAGCAACTCAATCAATTAATCAAGAGGTTAATTAGATAAAAATAATGGGCAGAATAAACGATTATGAAAATAATCGTTAGCTGCAGTGCTAAATTTTCATATGCAAAATCTCACCATAGGCTGTGCAGCCTTTGGTTCAATTTTTTCAGAAGTGATTTGAAAAAAATTTGAATTACAATTTTAGCAATGTCAAAAAATTCCTCATAGAACTTCTTTTTAACTCTTTTTGTTTGTTACAGCAGGAAATACTATAATTTTAATAATGTTGAGATGGAATTGTGAATAATAACTGCAATTACAAGCATATCTTTAAATATTCAGCTAATTTTATGATGCTCTAATCTGTAACTCGTTTTACAAAAGTGCTATTTTATTAAAGTTATCAGTATTATAGCAAAGGCCAACTTCAAACCAAACAAGTAGTGAGAGAAAATGTAAAGGAATTAAATCCCACTGTCCTTTGTTGGGTAAAACAAAGAGTATCTTGTTTATTTCAATATTCACACACACTCACACACACACACACACACACACACACACACACACACACACACACACACACACACACACACACACACACTAAAAGTAGCATCCAACGCAGTGCTCAGTGCTGCCTGAGCAGAGGGCAGCAGTGCAGAGAGACAGCAGGGAGAACAGAGTTCAGCTTCAACTCAATTTACACACTCTCCAGGAAAATGACCTCAGTCTGTTTTTAAGGTGTGGCCTGTGAGGCAATAACATATTCACACACACACACAAAAGCAAGTCAATGAGGAAGAGAGACAAAGAGAAAAACCAAAGTCAGCAAATTATGAAATATTATGTGTTGCTGAATGGGAAGTTAAGGATTAGTGGCAGATAAACACCTGGCACTTATCTTGTAACGGCCGGTACTTATCTTGTTTACACTGTATGTGGGCTTAACTAGCCTTAACAATATTACAAAACCATTAACAGCTTCATAAAGGGAAGAAATGGATTACAGGTTGATGATAGGTCATGTCGAGCACAGACAATTAGATGAACTCATGAAGGGCAGAGCAGGGCTCAGTGCGTTTGCACTGACTGAAGCTGAGTGATATGGATGAAAAAAAAAAAAATCATATCACAGTTTTTTGTTTTTTTTTTCTTATCTGTGAAAGCAAAACAATGCTTGATACAGCCAATGCAAATTGTGTGCAATGTATCTGCGTATTTAATTTCAGAGTAGGTAAGATACTGAAGAACTGGCAGGTTTTGGCCGAGGGAGGAAGAAAAACAGGGAAGAGTCTGGATGCCAGAATTCACTGCTGGGTCTTGTGACACTGTTGTAGATCCAGTTCAGTGTAATATGTGCAAAGGGACATCCTCACCCTGTCTCAGCCACAGTATCCAAAGCAGGTGTTTATTGTGGGTTCAAGAAATATTTAAATCAGATGCTGTAGACTGTTGAACACCTCATGTAAAGTATGTGACGCTGGAACCGATGTGAACCAAGTCTATGATTGCCACCTGCTTAGCACCAAATGCTGGGATGTGAATTGGGAATGTCTTTTAAAGACAATTTAAAGACAATAACTCTTAATGCCTCAGTTATATCGAGTGATATGGCACTTCACGGTGAGTTACTATTGTAATGAGTAAGAAAGTTTCTAATAAATACAAAGCAACATGTTAAGCAACAGTGACGATGAGTAAATCAATGTTGCTCTGAAAAAAAGTATTAATTAGTTTGTAATTTGATAAAAGCTTCTGCCAAATGAGTAAAACTACATAGTAAAGTTTTTTCAGTTCACTTGATTAGACAAGCTGTTGCTCCATGTTGCTGTGTCCTATTTTGTGACATGACCTAACCTTCGTTTAGATGGGAAAACACGCAGAGGTTTTGCATATATGAAAATGTGTAAGGATTTTTCCAAAGCTTATGGAAATGTTTAGCCTGAACACGCAGCCTGGGCAGGGTTCTGCAGGACTGGAGACGAGTCTGTGCTGCACTGAGAGTCACAAGTCACAGAATCTAGAGTTAAAACTAACAAGGCGTCTCCCCTAAAGGCTGTATAAATGTGTCAAAGTGTGTATGGCACAGTATGTGTGTGTTTTCACAACAAACATACTTATTGTGAAGCAGACACACACCAGTGAATCTGGATGGGTTCAACATAAGGTTCAAGTAAATATGGTGGGGGGAAAAAAACAGCCAGCAGACTTCTCATGTGAAACTTTACACGAGATTCCACACACACTCACACACACACCCACACACACACACGTCACATGACAGCAAGACACAGGAAACCAGACATGTGTCTGTGCAATGCGTTATCACTGTTTGTATGCGGGTTGCAACTTGAAAGCATATTTCCAAAAGAAAATGCTTCACATCCTTCACCACCCCTGCCTGCCTCACCTTGCTAAATTACACATATGCATATCTCCTTCCTCTACTTTTACAGCTCATACTCCTGTTTTGATGAAAGACTCCCTGTCCTACTATCACATCTCATCTCATCATGATCATTTCAGGGATAGAAACTGGAGCTATTCGCTGAGCTGCTTTAACCCTAATACTTCTTGCAAATGAATGCTCAATGTTACAATCTAAAAATTCTTGTTTCATCTGCTCTTGTATTTTGAGTCGTTCTGGATGACAGTCAGGACAAATTACATAGCAAGACAGTTATTATTATACTCACAGAACCTGTTTTACACTGAGAATATAGAAGGTGTGAAGGACAGGGTCCTTTTCAAGGCCTCAATACCCAGAGTTTGTGACTGACATTCTTGGTAAAAAAAAAAAACATTGAGTGAAGCTTGTGATTTTGGACAAATCTGCGGGGAGAAGGCAAGTTTTACACATAAATTCAAATCTACTACTGGGTCCAGATAGCGGGGAAAAAGATTAAACAACCTTCCATTGTGCTGCATTTTGGCCAACCAAAAATTTGATTCTACTGTTACTGTACTGATGGGGAATATATACTATGCCAATACACACTTTGACGTGATATGCATTTGTCAACCATTAAGATATTTGCTGTGTTCATGGGTGTCTTCGTGGGCAGCTGCTCATTATTTATGTATAACACATTACTTTAATGATAATAAACCATGCCCCCTCATTTCTTCTTATCTATGGCGCAGCAGTCGTGTCAGCCATTGCTATAGCCCATTGACAAAAACTTAATTTTCCTTTCATCTGTGAAACCATCAGTAAGGCAGTCCTAGCAAGTAAATAAACAATAGGTCATGTGTCGCTATATTAATTAGCCACAAAGCTAGCTAATGCCACAGCAGCGGAAGACAGCTAACGAACCTTTAACATATAGCGTTATTCTCATTCTGCTACAATGGTAAATATGTCTGCGAATCATGTGCAGTTACTGTTGTTGCATTGAAAATGTGATTTTCACCTAAGATATTTTACTTGTAATTCGTCTCAGACGTGTAAAGCTGAGAATTAATGCTAACCCCCCTTAGCTAATGTCTGACCATTACATTTCAAAACAGCTGGCTAGAACTGGTAATGTTAGAGGGATTACTATCAGAAATCTTTATATAATGTGTTTCCATTACAAAAAATAAAATAAACATGGGTCGACACATCATTATCAGATTTTATAAACCCTCAAATATCAAAATTGGCACCGGCCTTAGAAATCCTGTATCCTGTATAATATTGCAATTTAAAGTTATACATAAACCTTGATATTGGACTTTATCCATATCGACCACTCATATTACTTCATCATATGCAAAACAGTTACATCCAAGAACATTCTCTTATCAACCAGCACTGGTACATAAAGCATTTCAACATTTATCACATAATATCACATTGACTGCTTCTCTCTGTTGAAGAACAGGATGACTGAAGACACTCTGTAATGCACAAAGCATACTCCAACTCACACAGGAAATGTATGACGCTGTGTGAACCAGACAGACGACGACATTTGAATGGGAAACAGAGTGTAAACTTGTACTGTATATCACTTCCTCACTCTGTGTCTTGTGTAGATCCCTGCTTCTGTAGCAACAAGACGAGCGCAGAGAATAGCAACAGGAAAACCACCTCCTCCTTTGCTTTGCATGGGCACACTCCTGCCTTGCTTTGCCTTCACTACACACACACACACACACACACACACACACATATACATACACACACACACACACACACACACACACACACACACACACACTTTGTCTTTCCATCACTTCAGAAGACATTACACTGACTTTCCCCCAGAGATTTAGACTAACCTTAACCATAGGTCTGAGTGATAAAATGGTTCCTATCACAAAAAACTTTTGCACAAGAATGATGATAAAAAAATAAGTAATTTATGATAAATGTATCTGTTCTGCGTTTGGGTCAAACTTCATCTGCAAAATCACTCTATTGGGCTACAGCAATAACTTATTTAGCTAACATGTGTAGGGCCAGAACAAGGGAAAAAACACACACACATAGTTGGAAAAATATCAAATGAGCGACCGCGAGGAGTCAGACATCCACACAAGATGAGGAAATTGTGGGGAGGAGAGGTCACACAACATCAGTGATTTGGAAATGGTTGGGATTTCTAAAGCTGGATAAACAGCAGAGTGATATCCGTTGCAGGGGACCTGTGCAGACGAAGACGGGAAACACAACAAACCTTCTCTGCCATTTGAAAAGGTACCATCCAACCGAGTATTCAGAAAGACTGCCATCCCAAGCACTAGCACTAGTGGTAGTTATGATGGTTTAATGTTAGTTCAAATCTTAATCGTGTGTGCCTTTTTGGTCTTTACTCCATATACATTAGAGTATATTTTATTTAAGTGGCACATAAAAGGAAATACAACTAGTAGTACAACTGTGCAAAAGTCAGTGTGTGTAACATAACATTGTCACTGTTTTGCCTTTTTGAAGTGAGACTGTTATACCATGTTGGTTACACACAGTATCAAGTTATTGATTAAAAAACAAATTATCGTTTAGAACCATAACAATCCTTTATTTGACTTATTGAAAATTCAACCATAAACTGAACATACCCCTAAAACTTCAAATTAAAAAAAAGGTACCCTGTGGAGTTTTCTTGTTTACATTCAGTTTTACCCACCAAAACATATTGTGTGTATCATTGAGGTCTAACAACAAACATGCTGAATATGTTTCCCATCTCATTAATAAAATAAAACGATATAATCACCTATAGCGATCAACATAAAAAAATATTATAATATTTTTTGGCCTACTACCCAGCTCTACTTTACCATAACCATTAGTTGCTTAACCCTTAACATAAGCTTAAACCAACCTTAAAGTTTACCCTAAAATTTAACTTACAGTATGGGGGGCTTTGCTTTTGTCCCTAAAAGGATGTCAAATGACACTGACCACAATGACACTAACAGATTTATATCCTCACAACATAAGTAACCAAGCACACACACACACACACATACACACACACACGCACGCAGATAAAGAGACAGGAAGAGAAACGCAGACAGGTAGAGAAACGTGCAGACAAGGAACGAGAAACACACAGAAAGACACGTCCACAACCTTGTTTACAAACCGAGATAGCACATAGCAATAGTGCAAGAGCTAATACCTGCATTCATTCGTGTCACAAGGCACTTACTGCGAGCGGAAGTGCGTGAAATATTTGTTGGTTAAACCTGCTCTTTTGGTTAAAACTCTGCCACTAAAAACTATTAGACAGCTACAATTTGCTGTCACATAAACGAACATGAAACACATTTCAAAACATTATCGATGAAAGTGTAGTTTTTCTTCAGTGTACTGAGCCTTTGAACTGGCGGAATACAGGAATCATGTTAACGGTGGAGTACAATAAAAACAGAGGAGGAAACACTCATTTGCTCCTAAGCTAACGTTGCTAATGGTGTTGTCTTTTCAAACAGAGGAAACAAAACATTTTGAAGCAGGTTAACTTAGCAGAGACTCTGATACTGTAACTGAAAAATGATGAGCAGCTATATTTCACGCATGCGCAGGAGTACAAAGGCAAGGCACTTTATGACAGTCAGCAGCCGATAAAAAGACAGCGGAAATGAAGCCTCAAATCGCTTTCGACAGCACAGAGATTTAGTGTTGGAGGTAGTGGTGGCAGCAACAGTAGAGGAGGGTTCAATAAAGGCGGCTCTTACCGAAACGCAGGGGCTGGAGCTGGTGCTGGGGGTCGGTGAACGCTGCACGGTAACCAGCGCCATTCAGCGACTGGGAAGCGGACACCTGAGAGAAAGCGACACCGGCGAGACGAGCATAATTGTTTAGAGGGATTTAAAACCCAGATGAACCCGGGCTGTTGGTGTTCTCTCGTTTCCCCTCTCCCTTTCTCTCTGATCGTAGTCTATTTGACTACTCCCCGGCTGTTTCCTCTGTCAGCGCCACATGCGCATGCGCAACTGCCCTTAGCTTGTCAATCCCGATTAACCGTATGTGTGCTGGACATAAACAAAGCAGCTTTGAACAGTGTTTGTCAGTCAAACAATAAGCCTGCTGCTACTGTGTAATGTTAAATTATTTTAAAAGATTAATTAATTATGCCCCCCCCCTCCCAAAAAAAAACAGACAATTAAGTCATAAAGGTAACTTTAATTCAATAAAATTAGGGGACTGACAGGACAAATAAAAAAAAAAGAATGGTCAAAATCGATTCAGCATAGTCGAAATATTCCGACTTTTAGTCAGTTTTGTTGAGGTTACAAAAACACTGAATCCTACATTACCTGTGGAAGGATTACAAGACAGGCCAATCAAGCACAGGGCCAAGGGTTCAAATGGTCAAGGGGCCCATGAGCCAGAGCCTTTCTTTGAGGTGACTTCACATTTCTTGTTGGAAACAACTACAAAAAGATGCAAAAAGTAGAAATGATTACAAAAAAGACTAAAAAGAGACTTAAAACATCCACAAAGAGACGCCAAATGTAGCCACATGTTGTGTAGTCATTTTGTGTCTCTTTTTCTGCTTGGGTGTCTTTCAGGTTGGGGGCCTTTTACATGTCCATGCCCAGGGGCCCTTTGTCTCATAATCAATACATCCATAGTGCAACTGATTAGTGTATTTTTGCCACGTTCATGTTATATAATTCAAACCATGATTACAAGTGGCCTAGTAGGAAAACCATTCATGTCAGCCTCTGATTTGTATATGGGAACTTCTGTTGCAGACAGCATCTCCCACTTAGTGTAAAGAACTATGGACATGTCAACAAACAGGTGACAGAATAGCTGCAGATGTACAACCTCTAACAGTTACACCAAAATAGAATCCAAAATTAACACCTCATTTTATAGGAGCTATTCACTACGTGTTTGTATCTGGTTTCACTTGGTGACAAACTGCTACAAATAAACAACACATCAAAAGTAGCTAATTTAGGCTGTTTATCAGGTGTGAATACAAGGCTAAGACCACAGGGCTAACCACATTCGAACAAGGTGTGAACAGTCTCTAGTCTGATTAAGGTTTTTTTTTTTCCTGTTTTCCCCATTCTGCTGACATTATGTGAATACAGCATTAGACCCTCAGTACCTGGTAAATGCTGATGATGTCACCTGGGTTATTTTTTCAGATTTTCAATAGCTCCCTACAGAGCCACAGAGGACAGTATACAACTTTCCTGTTTTTTACAAGCTAAGTGTTCCTCATAATGAGTAAACTGATCCTGATGTGTAAATTTGGTTGAGTGCCCCTTTATTATTCTTAAAAGACAATGTATTTGCATAAATTACACATCTTTACCAACCAATATTATACATACTTTCAATTTAATGCATCCAGAAGAAATTATCAAATCATTTTGCCCAAGTCAAAACTTTATTTTCTGAGGAACCATATCAAGACCTTTTTTCAGTAGTGTTTTAAGTCAAAGTTAAATCTCAAGTTTCTAGAAACTAGGTCAAATCAGTTTCTGAGTGATTTTCTAAAACCAATAAAACATAATGTGTGAGTTTACTGTACAATAGCTACATAGAGTGTACATAATTTTACTTTCACATAATTCTCTAAGAGTTAGTCAAAACCTTCAAACTCCAACTTAAGGCTGCATTTCAGAAAAGAAAAGGGGAAGAATGCCTTCCCATAGGTTGTCAGTCAGGAGTCACATGATCTTCTGTGTACATACTGTACATACAGTCTTTGAGCTTCAATGAAGTGGCTGCAGCAATTAAATGTTGGTGTAAAATCCCTGCCTGAACCTGTACTGCCACACTGTTTTTTTCAATGCTTGAGGGCACAGGTCAAGGATAGTAGCAACCATAGCCTGCCACAAACCACACACTCAAATATGAAGAGTGTGTCATCAGCACAACAGCCAGTGAGCGTAGGTATGCGTAGATGCACATCACCAGCACTGCCACTATCCTTACAGCTTGCACAACCAGGTTTCTTTCCTGTTTCCTCCAACACCTTCAATAATAGTAGCCTTACGATCAGATCGAAATGGCAGATGTGGGGAGAGATTAAGAGGTCTGGAATCCGGTGAAAACAATACATGATATTTCAAATCATTCACTTTACTGGCTTGTAGTTGTCAGTGGTGTTTTATCACTGCACAAAGATAGGAAGAATGTGCCTCTCACTTATTGATATCAAAATGGTATTTGTTCAGTTCCTCTTATTTTTCACCATAACTTTGCCAAGTGTAGTTTCTATCACTTCATCCATCCATCTGTCAATATACCGATCCACCTATCCATTTATCCACACATTTCATAGTTCACTATATCACCACTCTATCCTATCTTTCGTCCATCAGGCAGCTTTGGTCGTTCTGTTTGCACCAGAGGGATTAGCAGTGAGGCCAGAGAGGAGATGAGTTGGAGATTACGACAGAGATAATGGTGTTTGGATTTAGAGTCACTCGGAGGAGGCAGTGGGAATTCAAAGCTGCAACTTTAATCACAGGTGAGCCATGTGCTTTCTGATCTGATTTAAGGGAATGCCTTGCTGTAGGTTCACAACAGAGCAGCTGACGGCATTGAAAATAACAAATGACGTGAGCAAATGAAATAAAATAAGAGCAGTTTCTTTGCTCTGAGTCGGCCAGACAGTAGCCAAAGAGACTGAGTCTCTGTTTACTCTCCAGTCAATAGCAGTCTCTCATGCATCTTTCATCATCATCTTTTAAAGAAGCACTTTATATAGTTGACTGCCCACAAAGTGATGAGATCCCATTACTGCTTATTGTAAATATTCTCAATATTAAATCCATTATATCCTTTAGATCTTCACTATAGCACTTATGCTGCAATTTGATATATAATGTGTGGTTAATAGAATAGATCTACTGTAAGACTTGGTTTCTGTTCTTTGTGGTGATACACTGCAGAAATCCTGGAGGTGAACTTAACAGGATGATCACAAGGATAGGAAATATGTTAATTATATTACAAAGGCCTATTATAGTTTCAGTACTTTACTGTAACTTTTTTAATTTTAATTTTGAAATGCTGTGTACTTATCAGGCCTATACTCGTGATTCATTTTAGACAGTCTTATAAGAAAACTAAAAAAGCAAAAATATTTGAATCGTATGTTGCTATCAAACAAAAAAATGTGTTTATCATAGAATTATCATAGATTTTTTTAAATTGGACCTGGAGAAACGTACTTCTCTGGATGTAATCATGAAAGTTTGCTCTGTGTGCAGACCTGAGTGATACATGGATTCACAATTCTGTTATTTGCGTGCACAAACTGTATATGAAGGGTTTTTTTTTTATCATTTTAATATTCAGTCAAATGTTTGCAAGATACTCATCAGTTACATTTTGTAGCATGTCACCATCTAGTGGTAAACATAACCATATAAAAAAAGAATACCTCTACCATTATAACATTCTTACATTTGACATAGAGACCTGTGATTAAATATTTTAATATTACGGTATTTTGTTCATTTCTAACACCCAATATTCCTCAAATCAATGATAAATCACATGACATTCATCATGATTAGTGGCTTCTATCTGTCAATGAAAGTCCGCATATTCGCAGCAGACTGAAATATAACTGCCAAGATCAAATGTGTGATTATATGTAAATGAATCATGTGTGTGGCAGCTTTATTCACGTGGCTGCTGAAATTTAACAGAGCCGGACTTGTCATGTATGAACTTACTAAAAATGTTGTGTCGAATCTGCCGCGCTACGTCACAGTCAGTGGAGCAAGATGGCGGTCCCTACAAAGCAGTAAGTAGCAAACATGCTAACGCGATTATGGCAAAGTATGTGTGATCAATAATAAACAACTGTTTCTCTTGGTTGCGGTTTTAGTTATAGATATGATAAAGAACTGAATCTGCTGTAGCTGTCGAGGTGTTACCCCTCAGGGTTATTTATAAAATAAATATCAGGAGCATTGCTACTCCTGCAGCTAGTTATCGATATGCTAGAGGGTCAGCTGTATTTAAATATAATTCTTCAGATTTTCTTTCTTTTCATATATTTATCAACTTCTTAATTTCACCACCTGCATTTCTTTTTGATGTCCGCCTTGCAAATAACATTATTTATGGAGATATAATAAAAAACTTAGTAGTAGGTAACGTTACTCATTCAAAATTCAGTTGGTCTGGTTGATTTCTCCAAGTTTTAGACATTTTCTGTACGTATTGCTCTATGAAAAGTGCGCTTGATTTCATGTTTGCAAAAAGTCATCCTTCTTGAAGACAAGTTAACGTCCGTTAAAGCCATGTCATGCAACTGGAAAATGGAAGAGGTATACACTCACCGCGCACTTTATTAGGAACAACATACTAATACTAGCTAGAGCCTCCCTTTGCTCCAAATACAGCCTCACCTCTCTGTGGTATGGATTCCTTCGGATTTAGGAAACATTCCTTTGAGATTCTGCTCCACGTTGACATGATTGCATCGAATAATTTCTGCAGATTTGTCAGCTGCACATTCATGCTGTCCTGTCTCCTGTTCTACCACATCCTAAATGTGTTCTACTGGAATCAGATCATGGTTTAAGTAGCCAGTAGACGATGGTAAACTGTAGCCATAAAAGGACACAGCAACAATACTCTAATAGGCTGTGGTTATCTGAGTTACTGTAGCCTTCATGTCAGCTCCTCTGACCTCTCTCATCAACCAGGCATTTCCTTCTGCAGATGCTTGTCTCATCTGAATCTCCCACTGTAGCTTCAGCCATTATTCGGCTGCAGGCGGATAACAGAGCGCCAGCAGACCTGGGATCAGCAGACCACCAGCCTCTTAAGGGAATGTGCATGAATGCATAAAATAATAAATACATTAATATAGTCGGATAAATGTAATCCTAATGTAACCTGTGTTGCTGACATACTCTATTTAGAATGTATAGTACTCTGGTGTTGTCTTTTTTACGTTAATGGCAGCATTTAAAAGACATGGGGATGTTTGTTTCTAAATACTAGAGGCAAATCTCTAATCCTCACTAACAGGATAGTCATCATCAAAATAAACTCTCCACTTAAACGTCATTTGCTGTTTTGTTTTTTTTCACACTGCTGGTTTAGTTTTGGTGTCTAAGCCTTCGCATTTGTCCCAGTAATGGGTACCACTTTTCTTAATGAGGTACGACTTGTGAAACCTTTACAAGTGAAAAACATATGAAAATGGCTTTTGTAGGACAGGGTTTAAGAAGCCTTGTCTCCTCACTGTCTACAGGTACGGGCTGATCTTGTCACAGAAGAAAGGAGCGTTAAAGACAGCAGCCCTGCAGAAACCCTCAGTGTTCGGGGATGACTCCGACGATGAGGTGGGTAAACTTGTGGATTTGTTATAAGCAGGGCAACATGATTCGTCATTTCCAAATTACTGCATGTGATTCAGGAAACAAATGTATCAAGGTAACAGTTGGTATTGCAGCAGACCTCTGATGTGTTTTATTCCTCAGACGTCAGTTGGGGAGAGTCTGCAGAGAGAGGCAATCAAAAAGAAGATGATGAAGCAGGTGAGAGGAAGAATTACATAAATTTATGCAACTTGAATCCACACAATGCTATAAACTCCTACACAGTCACAGTACAGTCATTCCTCTGTGATTTACATTTCTCTGGTTTTTGTCTTCCTGTCTCTGTCTGAAGACACGTTTGGAGATGCAGAAGGCCCTGGAAGAGGACAGCACTGTATATGACTATGATGCTGTGTATGATGACATTCAAAAACAGAGAATTGAGAGCAACAAAAAAGTTCTGGGAGGCGCTGACAAAAGGGTAATCATCACTGATATTTCAGAGTGATGTAATGGTTAGAAAGACTGTCCCTGAAGACTTTGCAGTGGCCAGCATATTTAGCTGATAATGAGTTCTGACATCAACTGGTGAAGAAAAAGCAAAATGTGAGCATTTACTTTATTTCTTTCTTTGTCTGTTTCTCTTTGTAACAGCCGAAGTATATCCACCAGTTAATGAAAGCAGTGGAGGACCGAAAGAAAGAGCAAGAACGAAGGGAAGAGAGGAAGATCCAGAAGGAAAGAGAGGCGGAGGGAGAGAAATTCGCGGACAAAGAGGCTTACGTTACCTCCGCCTACAAGCAAAAACTGCAGGAGCAGAAGGAAGAGCAGGAGAGAGAGAGGAGAGAGGCAGAGATGGAAGGTTAGACTGATACTTTACAACTATTTTTAGGCTGCTGGCAGATAAGATTGTGTTGTAATTGACACGGTGAGACTTTGAACTCCAGACGTTTCAAACAGCATATGAATGCAGCCTAAATTTTATTTGCTTCTGGATATTGTACAAACAATTTGTCCTGCCAGTCTGAAAATAGCCTTGTGGTGTTTCAAATATTTTATTGAAAGCAGAAAAAGTTCAAGAGTGTTTCCTCCCCGAGGGCACACAAAGCAAGACTTGAAGAGAGAGATTTCAAGATGTTGTGGAAATAGGTCACTTTATGTAAAACAATGTAAATGATTGGTTTGAATTATGTTTGTTTTGTTTAGCTGCTTTGGATGTGAAGAAACAAAAAGACCTGAGCGGCTTCTACCGACACCTGCTGAATCAGACTGTAGGAGAGGAGGCGATACCAGATCGCTCAGCAAACAAGTCAGTCATGGCTCCTCAATAATCACAACAAGCACACACATATTTGTAAAAACTATATCGAGCCTTTAAGTGTATCTCTCTGTTCCTACTCCCACAGAACTCCAACCTCAAAGGCTGCAAAAGACACAGAGAGGACTTCACCTGTTCCCTCACCTACGTCCCATGACATTATCCCAAGTTCATGCAGTGACAGCGAGGAGGGGCACGAGCAGAAGTCTGGGTTCAGCAAGCCTGGGGCAGGCTCCTCACACTCAAAACGCCAGTACAGACAGAGGTCGCCTTCATCAGGGAGCGGAGAAGAGAAGGAGAAGGAAAGAGCGAGGGAGAGAGACAGACATAGGAAGAGTCACAGAGATCTAGACAGAGACAGAGGGAAGGACAGAGATAGGGACAGAAACAGGACAAGGGAAAAGGAAAGGGAAAGGGATGACAGACATGGAGGAAGAAGAGACGACAGGGATAGAAGGAAAGATAGAGACAGAGACCGAGGCAGGGAAGATGACAGAGGTAGAGGCAGGGGGGATACAGAGAGGGAAAACAGACATGGGAAGCGGGAGAGGAGCCCTAAAGAAAGAGAGAGGGAGAAGAACGGGGAAAGAGAGAAGAGGAGGAATCCAGGTGAAGACGAGCGGAAGGACAAAGATCGGGAAGAAGAGAAGGAGAGAAGGAAGGAGCCAGAGAAGGAGAAGGCAGTGAAGATGGAAGAAAAAGACCCGGAGAAGAAAGAAGAAGCCGGAGCGCCGGGAAAGCAAAAAGAAGACGGCGAAGAGAAAGAGGAAACGGAGGAGAAGGGGAACAAGTTTGCAAAGCGCAGCACGGATCAGACTGTGAGCTCGGCGAGAGAGAGGTACATGGCCAGACAGATGGCACGCTCGGCCTGTAAGAGCTACATCGAGAAGGAGGAGGACTGAGAGCGGTCCAACACGCCACGCAAACATCTCTGTACTGCACACAACCTCCATCTCAGATTAAGAGGATAAAGCTAATGTTATTTCATAATTTTCTTTTTTTTTTTCTTCAACAATCCCATTTAAAAAAGAAAGAAAAAAAGATTTATTTCTTCCTTTTTTTCTTCTCTGTTAAAACTCCCCTTCTTGATTTTCTTTTCAAGGCTCAATAAATTTCCTACAACAGCTGGACACTGTAGTTTTTTAGCAAACAGAAGTAAATATTGCATGTGCTGGAGACTATACTTTCATCCGTGGATTAATACACATTAGTATTTACAGCAAGTAGAACAGTGTATGTGAAATTGACTCCAGATCAGCTACTGTGGCCATGTTCATTGTAATAAAAGAAGGTGTCACCCGGTGCAACAGTGTAGCTCATCGATGTGTTTTTTTTATTTTTTAAAGCCATGGGCAACAACAGAGGTGTGGCACAGAAGAATAAGCAATATTAGGCTTTTACTACACGGACAGTTCTCGTTAGTGGAATTAATTCATTATTGGTTTTAGGCTTTTCATGGGATTTGATGACGATTAGAAAAACACTGAATCTTGCCAACCTTATCCTTTGGCCTTTGGTGACCAGAGAGAGAGAGAGGGAGAGACCTGGCTGATACATACATTTTTTTTTTGGACTTGAATGAATGGATTATGGATTTATTTTTGTGAAATAATGTTGACGACTTGTAAATACGAGTTTGATCAGAGAGTCTCATGTATCATCACATACAGGAATGAGAGTATACAGTATATAGGAAATGTTGTGTTGTGGCGTTTATTCACTTTTGTTGAGGTTTTGTATCTTTCTCTTGTAGTCAGTGATGAGTTATTAAAATCATTTCTCGTTCCAGAGTTTCTTTTGTTCTGTTGCTTCCTGTTTGTTCGGCAGTCGTGTGCGGTTTGATGCTAAAATGTGTTCAAGTACGACCATTTCAACTCACAACTCGGAAGGTAACGACGTTTATTTCACACAGATCATTTGATCACAGAAACGTTGTTACAGCTTTACAGGTTTTGTGCAGGAGAGACATGAATTCCAATATAAGTAATGTTGGATTGCGGGAATCTTCTGTGTGTCTCTTGTGCCTCTGTGTTGGGTTTGTTCTAGTTGTACAGGGAGATGTTGGACCACTGAAACAAAAGGAAAGGTAGTTATTATTAGAATTATTAGTATCTTTCATGATTTTAATCACTGATTGATTTCTGCTGAGAATGGGCTGCACACTACACTGCTTTACCTTCTACAGTTTTAAACATTTTTACACAAAATATGAAGTGGTCATAAAATATGATGCATTGTTAATATATGATAAAACTACCCAACAGTTAACAAAAAAAAACAGCGACACCATGACCAACTTTACTTGTATTGTATTTGTATTTTAATATTGTAGTATTGCTACTTTTAAATCAGTAGATGATATGAATATTTCTGCCATATGTTATCTTTGTGAATGTTGGATATCTTGAAAAACATGCATAAGTGGTATTAAGTGGAGATAAACTTGCCTCATCCCAGGTCAGGTGGATCACTCCATTGGATGACTTGTCCTTGAAAACACCTGTAAAAGAAAACAAACCACAAGATATCAGATATTTTTTAATGCAACACAAGCTTAAACACACATTTCGAAATGGAGAAACACTCTAGAAGCTTTAATACTGTGCTGTACTGTTCACATCTATCACTGATGATGTGTATGTGGAATTGCTCTGACACAATTTTCTTGGATTCAGTTCTTTAGCCGCACTGACCTCTACATTCTGAACAAATAAAAGTCCAATTTCTCAAGCTTGTGTGTGTGTGTGTGTGTGTGTGTGTGTTGTTTTTTTTAAAGTGATGTCATTGAGGGTTGCCATGTCACTCACTTGATGTCTTTTCCAGGCGCAACATGAGAACAATGAAGTTCTCCAGGGAGGTGGAGGAGACGCCCGAGTAGCGGAACATCATCAGCCTCACCATGCCATCGTTCACATTCATCCCTGGTGCAGACACAAGTTATGATTGTTCTTCTATTGGCGTTGAGGTACGATTAAGTTTAAATGCACTGATAAAAAAAACAAAAAGTGTTACCTGCAGCCTCAATTGCCCTCTGGAGCTCATAGTCAGACAGGGATCCACTCTGATTCAAGTCGGCGCGATGGAAGATTTTCTGCAACAAAAAAAAAAGATGAACCTACATTTAGAAACTGAGAGCAGTTTAGGTGTATGTTGTTTTTTATTTATGTGTTTGTTTGTTTGTTTGTTTATTTGACATGCTAATGAACATTAGTACAAAATACACAATGTAAACATGCCAGATTGTAGCTAAAAGGCTCATTTACATCATTAGTCCCAAGGCAGATAACATAAAACAAAAAAACACTTCTAGTCACAATACACCACTACAAATATAAAATACACAAACTAATAAATTTATTTTTTTTTTTTATCATGGCCACATTGGTTGCATTACCTTGTAATCGTGAATCTTCTTCCAGAGAACTGAGAATTCAGAGAAGCTCATTCTCATCCTTTGGTCGGTCTACGTGCACGTTAAGGAAGTCACATCACCAGCAGATGGAAAAACAATTTCACTCCTGATCACAGTCTCATTTTTGACTCTCTGGCATGATAACGGGGGGGGGGGGGGGGGTTATTGGTAACATAAGAAGTACAGCAAAAACACTGATGTATTTAAGGATACATCCACCATAGCACTCATGCTCCTGCAGGTATCCAGACCGAAGCCGTACCGGGTTCCTGCAAAAGGGAGAAAAATGGAAAAAAAACTCAAATCGCCAAAGTAACTCGACTGAATCCTGATTCACAACAAATGAATAGAGATGTTGATTAGAGCAACTCACCGTGAGGGAAGTTGTCATTGAGGAGCTTCTGCAGCTGTCTGGCACTGAGCTCACCGTTCTGACAACAGAGACAGACAGCACATCAACAACTGTGATCGACTGATGTCAGAGAAAGAGAAAGAGGAAAAGGACGAGCGGAGGGAGACAGAGGGGAAAAAATACCACACCTGATCGGCGTAGCGGTTGAACAGGGTGCGGGTGGAGTCCTGGTCACCGTCTCCGTCTGTGGGGATCTTAAAGAAAAACGTCCAGTCATCACTTACGTTGCTCTGAGGTTGATAAGTTCATGAACCAGACGTCAAGACTGGCTCATAACTATTAGGCTCTCAAACTCACGGTGACATTATGCGCTACAGTCTTTTGTTTCATACCTTGGGGAGAACCAGTTTCTCCGTCTCTTCATGGTCATCATCATGATCATGATCATGATCATGATGATGATCATGATCGTGATCTTCATCCTCATCATCATGTCCATCATGGGGGCTGGATGCAGAGAGGAGTGTGTTAAAACTCACACAACAGTTAGAACAGTCCCTTTCTGTTGTAACTTTTTTTTGTTTTTTTTTTAATTTGCCCTGAATCCAACATTGATTAAAATGCTCATATTAGTCTGATGGAGGTTTGAATGCTGGTGAATTCAACACTGATGCACTGAGCAATTTCTATTTTTGATGTTTGTAAGTCCCAGCTTGCTAAAACCCCCAAAGTCCCCCCAAAAATATATCAAGGACATGACCCTGATCCATTTTGACAGTGCAGCTTCACATGGTATCAGTCGTTACGGCAGAGCATGTGTCAGATATTCGAATCAGTAACCCTTGTTTTGGAATAAAAGTCTCCACTGAGTCAAGTCTTTACCTGATCTTCGCCTCAGACTTGGTGAAGACGCTGAGAACAAACTCTCCAGACATGTAGGGCTTCATGGTGGAGGGGATGATCACATACTCCCCAGGCTCCAGACTGTGCAGCTCGATCAGATCCCTCTGATAGGTGTACAGCTGCCTTGATTTCAAAGGATTGTTTCTGTTGAAGAAGGAGGATCCCAGGCGTCCCTGTGGGGTCTGGAAGCACAGTGAACCTTGTTTATTGGAATGAAAATGTTTCCTCAGTATCAAATTGCTTTATTCAAGTTATTTAAATGTGGAATTTGTTTTGTGTGCACAGCTGGAGAGAGTGGTGTTTGTTCTTCTTTGTGCTTACCCCTGATGGAACCTGTTGGGTGTGAAATAGAAAGAAGAATGTCATTATACTGTTTTCAAATCGGTCAAAAATATATTTTTGTGTTATTTAATCATTATCTCATATGTAATGGACAAATTTTCAGAATGCAGACCTTAAAGATGGTAACTCCAATGGGGTGGGACTGTCTCTCCTTGCGATTCTCCTGCTGAGGTTTCTGCATCAGAGAAAGCAAGATGTTTTTGTCCTCTTTCTCCTGCTTGTTGATGATTGTCACCTGGATGCGATACTGAGGATTTGTTGCAAAGGTAGCTGCAGGTAATGAGAAACATGAACAATGCAGATTACATTTTGAGAGTCAGTGTGGTGGTTTTTTTTTTTTTTTGTGTGTTTGCATAAATAAAAGGTAAAAAGACACGACAGACATCTTGTCCTTGTGGTTGTAGGTAAAGGTAAAAGAATGAACTGGACTCACAGTTAGACAAGCTGCCACCTGCAGTTCTACCTGCCACCCAGCTGCCATCATAAATCATGCATTTCCACTGGCAGGTGAGGTCACCATCAAGAAAGTTGGGGTTCTCGCAGCAGATGGACACCATGTTGAAATAGTGACAGAAGTCCTCCAACTCCATCCTGAGAGACACAGTTGAGCACAGTGAGAGGAACAAGAGAGAAAGACCCATTATACGGTTTGTAGTCGGTCAAATTTCATCCTCACTGTTTAAAAGGTATCCTGTGTAATTTACGACCACTAGTGATATGTAATTTACCAGAACTCTCCATCGTCGCGATCAAAGCACTTCTCCCGATCCTCCTGTCTCACTCTGTTCCACATATCTGACCTGAGCACAAGAGGAAAAGAAATTAATGACAGAATTTGACACACTGAAACTGAACAGACTCATTCTTGGTTATTGTTCTTCACAGAAATATAACTAGTCTTGAGTTGCGAGTTTGTTTTTTTTGCATTGCTATATTATGCACATATGGATGGATGTGTGATTGATGTATTTACTTGTCGCTCCACTTCCCGTTCCACTCTGTTTTGCCCCAAGGGTTCATGACTCGCACCAGCTGCACTTTGGAGCCGTAATACTCCACCTGAAGATGAAATGATGAATTGACAAATGAAGTGAGAAACTTTGCAATGCTCCTAATACGCTGTATCCAGGCGAGAGCAAATTAATACTGACAACATCTCGGCTGCAAAACATGAACACGTGCACTTCAGCCGCTCCACACTTTACCTCAGTGACAGCTGTGACGGAGTAGGCATGGGCATCCACCAATCCAGTGTGGGCTACAGTGTTCACCAGCCTACCCTGAAACAAACAAAACCGTTAAATCACCCAAATTAGCTTCATTTATTTATTTATTTATTCATTTATTTTTCTTCTATGAATTTGGTTCTTACCCCTTTTGGGGCAGTGCCGCAGCAAACCATGGACTTGCACCCAGTGGCTCTGCTCAGTTGGAGCCACAGCTTCTCATCATGGCCGGTTGTGTGGGCGTCCCCAAGTTCGTAAGTCATGTTCACGCCTCCAGTGAAGTCCTTGCAGGCCTCTGATGGCAGGCCAGCGTTCATGTCTGCGTATGTGCCACACACTCTGCAGGAGACAGAAAACAAAAAAGAAGATGTTTATAATCTAATATTTTGAAATCTCGATTCTGGTCTTTGTGCCACAACTGTGACCTTCTAAACTGTTTTACATTCAGGTGAGTTAGTTGGTTACATACTTGGCATATGCCTTCTCCAGCAGAGGAACCCAGAACTCATTTCCTCCATTGCAGTGCACAGACAGCAACTGGTTGTTGTACGTTGGCAGGTGGTCGTCAATGACAACATCCACCCACTTGCCGAACCTCCAGAACTGACGCAGAAAGAGCAGGAAAGAGTTAGTTTGTTGATGACCACAATGCACTGAGCAGATGTATTGTGAAAGCATCATATCTGCACGCAATCATTAAATCTCTACCCTGAAGTGAAATATTCCTGCGTAGTTTTTGAAGGACTGGTCCATGGGCACGACCTGCGCCATCAGGTGTTTTTGGATCGTCAGTGCGGAGATAGCAGCCAGAAACCAGCAGTTACCTGGTGAAGGGATGAAAACATATATTTTTCTCAAGCACTGCGACAGATACTTCACATTTTCACCAACACAACAGAACTCCTTGCTCACCAATATTGCCTTGACCAAAGTCAAAGCGTGAGGCTCCCTTCATGCAGAAAGTCGGCTCATCGCTATTGTTCTGTCTTTTCAAGATGTCCTGGACAAGACGACAAGATGAAATAAAGCAAATGTAGATGAGCGTATAAACACATATACATAAGGGAAAATGCAGTCTTTAGAATGTAAAAAGTATATTCCTCTACTGCACTGATATCGTGTATATGATCTGTTAAGATTAGATGTACATGAGGATGAAAGAACATATTTAAAAGTTTTTTACAGCTGGACGAAGCCACTCCACTTCTTCCTCCTGCCAACTGGCCAGATTAGGCAGGTCTCCCAGAGAACGGGTGCCAGGCGGGAAGGTGCTGTCCACAAACAGCCTCCCTCTGCGGAGGCTGTTATCCTTCAGCTGAGCATAGTCTTGGTTCTTGTACTTGGCGGGGTTGGAGGGGCTCCCCTCGCTGCCATCCTGGTAACGCAGGTTGATGATGGAGGTGCAGGTTCCAGACTCAGGCATGTTGACGAGATACAGGGAGACTCTGAGACACAAGGAGAAAGACAAAATAAGAGATTTCTCAAAGTAAACTAAAATGCAAAGTGTTCCTCAGAGGTGAGTGAGGATAGTAACCTGTGAGACTGCTGCAACCAGCTGCTGTTTCCTTGCAAGAGGATTCACTTGGAGTGGCCAAGTCTGCTCTGTGCAGCAGACTGGCCCTGACTTATATTCACCCTGCGTTACGTAAGACTGGAGTCAGACCCGCCCCCACTAAAGAGTAGAAAACGCACAATGATGAGGTGCTGAGAGAGTTTTGGATAAGAAAACAGGTTTTCTGGTATAAGTCTCCACCTCCTCCTGTCATGTCAGGCCTGTCAGATATGCAAGCAATTTTTATTTATTTTTTTGCTCAAGGGCAAAAAACAAAAAGTACCATGTTGACATTTGGACAATAACCAGAGGGGATGACTGACACTGAAATCCACATTATTTCACATAACTGACATTTTACTGTCTTTGTACTTGTTCTATATATCTCTTATTGTGTTCACTATTGCTCTAAATGTATCAACTTGAATGAATGAGTTTTGTCATGTTTCATGGACATTTAAGTGAGCATAACTAAATTGTTTAGGCTTTTAAAGTTAAACCGCTCAATGTGTAAAAATAAATAAATAAATGAAATGAAAAAAGGATTAGCTGTAATTGAGAAAAATAAAAAAAATCTTTTATAAACCAACAGAATGCAGAGGAAAAACTTTAGTAACAAGTTGAGACGTGTAAAAGTGTCTCCCCTTCTCATTTTACTTTTTATTTTGAAACTGACAAGGAGGACACTCCTGTGTGGAAGCTATGGAGAGTTTCCAGATATTAAAAGTGACAATGTTGAGATTTGGCATCAGATTAAAGTCGTTCCACATCTGGATTTTATGGTTTTATGGTGTTTCGTTGTAAAATTGAAGATGTTGTAAAATTGAATTAAAATAAACAGTGATATTTATGTCTGTAAGATTTCACTGTTTGTAAAACCCCTGGAGCAACTTGTCTGTAAAAGGTGATTTTACAAGTATTCAGAGAATTGCTGCTCTGTACGATGATGGTGGGATTAGTGAGATTCGCCTCTGGCAAAAAACTGTCAAGCACATGATAACCAACAAGAAAGAAAAAGGAATGAGTGACTGAATGAAAGAATATTTGAGATTTTGTTAAATGACCCTGTGATCTGTTAATCTGCTAACAGTGCTCTGATCTTAAGTGTGTGGCTGAGAAGAACACTTCATGAGACAGGTGTGTAGGAGTGGAATGAATGGATCCAAAATAGTAAACAAATCCCACTCGATTTCTAAATTGCAACTATTAATTAATTTACTACGTTTCAGCATCTGACCTTTTATTTGATGGTTTATCATTGCAAGTTACAAAGTGTGCAGGATTTTTCTTTGCTATGACATGATAGTTGGCATAGAGGGCGATATACTGTGTATGGTGATTATGCATTAGTAGCTTTTATGTGACTATAAAATCAGCACCTTCTGATTATAACATGAAAATAAGATTTGTATTCATTCAGTCATCCGTTCATTTCCCCATTGTCTCTTGGCTTGCAGTGAATTGGAGTCTGTTTGACTGCAGGTGTGTTTGTGTTTGTGTGTGTGTGTGTGTGTGTGTGTGTGTGTGTGTTTGAACTGTGTGTAATGTATAATGTAATATCCATGCATAGCTCTCAGAAAATCCAACATTGAAAGATGCTGTTTCTAGAGAGAAATAACTCAACAAGAAAAGTTGTTGAGGTAACAATATTAGACCTCCAACTCAACAAAGTCCACTATAACATACATAATATATATATATATATATATATATATATATATATATATATATATATATATATGTACCACAGTATGATGCATCAGCTGATGCCACAATGGAGAAAAACAGCCTTTAGATATGAACAGAGAAAATGTGAGATTTGGCATCAAATTGCGTAGGTAAGTCTACACCCAGGTTTATTCTAAAGGTTTGTCTTTGGTTGTGAAATAAGGCAGCTGTAAAATCTATTGAAAGTACATAGCATGTTAATGTCAGTCAATAATAACTGCTTGTGCTGAGGTTTGGGAAAGTTGTTGATGAGCTGGACTGTGATTTTACAAGTACTTGGAGAATTTATGTTTTCTCTATTCTATGATGGTGAGCTTAGTGAGAGTTGCCGCTGGGAGGATTTTCTCCTGAGAACTGTCACGCACATACATATCTTCAAAAAAAAAAATTACATCACTCCCAGTTTAGCTTTTAGAAGCAAGAATCAAACCATCCATGAGATGATGCATTGAGACAAGTAGCACAGGACTGGGCTTCAAGATGAAATAAAACACGCACACGGACACAATAAAGATATAAGGGTAAAAGGCCCCCCACTCCTGCTACATAGGACCCCCCCAGACTGAAAGAGACACAATTGGAGTTTTTGCATCTCTTTTTGTCATTTTGTGTCTCTTTTTGTGGCTATTTTACATCTGTGTTTGGACCTGTGCACAGTTCAATAATCCATCAATGCTACAGCTGAAAAAACATACAACCCAAATAGCCCTGTGAACAAATTCATTAAAAAACATTACTAATACTAACGGTCTTTGCGATGCTGTAGACCTTATAGCACACACATGCAAAAACTGACCATTAGAAGCTTCTGCAGCAGCTGTAAAGGATGTAAAAGGAACTGTTGCAGCATTAATGCAATAAATCACTTCTCACTGTTACTATGGAGCCGTTCTCAGACAGACATTATATGTGAACATATAAATACCTATGTCACTGTATACATGTACACCTGCTGCAGCAGTAATGTCCTATGTCAGCTAGTCCTGACATGTGACAATACTTGTCTCAGTGTGTTATTTACTGTGGGGTTTTTTCCTCTCTATTTTAAAGTTTAGTGATGCCCTTGGGAAAAATGGTGTTTCAACAAGATATATCATGACAGCTTCAAGAGGGGCAAATAGCACAGCACTGTATGCAAATAATCAGAAGGAATAGTTATGCAAAGCAGAGTCACAGGAAGTACTTTTGGAAGATCATTTTATTATTTGAATTTTCCAATAGTAATACCACACTGGTAGTAAAATAATAAAACAGTAGCAAAAACCTCAAATACCAACATTTTATTACACTAGTGACAAGATCTTTGAAATAGAATACAATGATCATGTTTGTGATGAAGTCATGATATGGAAAAATAAATTACTGCATGACGTTATAGACCATGGTCCCATTCCTCCATTCCCTTCATTCACAGAATAGACACTGAGTATTTTTTTTGTTTTGTTTCCTGATGCAAAGATATCATGCACATTATTACATGGCGGCTCCTATGTCTGCACTCTTTTACACAAACAGGAGTGAAAGGCAAGATTCTCGATTTATGGGGATTTTTTATTTTTTTTTATGCTTTCTGACATGACTGAAATCTCAGGTGTGCTGAGATGCAACAAAAGCTTTTGTCATTTTTCTCCTAAGCCATCTCCTGGCGTGTCGGTACACATCTTCAGACATTCTTCACTGAAATAATGGACTTAAGTCTGACTTTGTGAAGCTGAAGGTGAGCGATACCCTGGGGTCACATTCCTACTACACAACATGTAAACACGCTATGCTTAAAACAAGCTCTCACATAACTCACATTGTGTTTTCACAATTATTGTATAAAGCAGGACGTGAAGTGGAGACAGGAGTAATTAAAGACTTAGAGGTATTTCACCAAAATGCTGAAGTATTAAGCTAAACACTGGAGTCAGAACCGTATGTACTGATGAGCACAGAGATGTTAAGGAAACACACTAAAGTATGGCTTTGATTGGAGGCTTCAGAACAAGGCTTTCTGCACTCAGTCTAATTACATTGTCGTTTTAAGAAGAAGACTTAAGTTCAAATGTTAAATATTAACAGGTGCCAGCAATTCATAGCAACTTTACGTCCAAGGTGTGGAGCTACATACATGTTAGTTATGCCAATCCCCAGTCTCAAGTCACTGACTATAAAATCAAGGCAGACTTTTTGAAGTCGGAGTTTGGAGTTGTGTTTCTGGCCACCTGATGAATCCTACTCCAATATTCACCCTTTATAACTTTATTGTTGTTTCCCACGAGTCCTGAGAGAAACATGTGGCTCTTTAGCTGCTAATTGCTCCACTATATGTTCATATGTTCATCACTTTGTTTGTCCCTGTGGCCCTTGATGCTGGGCAGACGGCGTGTGGTGGGTTTTTAGAGCTCTTTTGCAGCCGCCTGCTGTGGCTGAAAATGATGCAGATGAGAGAACCAAAACAGTAAAGTTGAGTTAAAGGATGCTAAAAATCTACAAAGAGCCACAGATTCTCTCTGTGGCCTCGTCACTACAAATTACACAGTCATTTGACCCTTTGTTGACCCCGTGTTGATACAAACATGATGATTATATCAGCTTTAAGGAGATAGGGACACATAACTTTTGGTTAAGTGTTAAATACTGGAAATATATTGTTGGCAGAGATAAGAAAATAATAAAGAATAAGTTTAGTTTTTACTTTGTTTAATTTCTTCAGTTCTTAGTACGATTTACTTTGCTCCAAAATCATGTCTCAGTCCTCCAGTAACAAGTCTGTGTCTCCAGTGTCAGCTGAGCATCCTGACGTTACCTACAGTATTTCCTACACTGCCACACAGGCATTACAAGACTTACAGTAGAGGCCTACAGAGTGAATGAATCATCACAAACTTGGCGTACACTTTCATCCAACCTTTTTCTAAATCTCCAAAACTTTAAAAGAAAAGATAAGAATTGCTATTTGTGGAAGCTTATTATCATTTATAGGATTATTCTTAGTCTTTTTTAATCTACTCACTTAGAACAAATCATTACTCACCCTGAAGTGAAACATCCCAACAAAGTTATCTTTAATCCAGAGACGACACTTGTGCCATCAACAACTTGCAAAGAGTCAAGTAAATAACATATTGTAAGTTTGTACACTAACATCACCTCGTTTGAAGTCAAACCTTCCCTGACATGAATCCTGCAGTGCTCACAGAGAGTCGAGGTTTGCCGGGTAAGTGAATCTAGCGACTGGTCAACAGCTTTCAGGTTAAACCCTTCGACTTTATCAAATACCAGAAGAGCAGATGAATCAAAGATCAAGCAGATGACAAAAGAGTGACCTGCACAATTAGAGCCATGTAACGGTTTTTAAAGTAAAAGCACAGTAAAACAGGACTAGAAAATGTTGCAGTTATCTATAGGCCTCATCTCATCTGCTGCCAAATATGTGTCACTCTCAGGTATTGTATGGTTCAGTGCAGGTGGAGTCATCAGCCTTTATCAGAATTAACAGAGGATGATGTAGAGCCACAATTTATCTGTGTGCATGTGCATGTGAACAATTAGATAGCATTAGCCAGGCCTCAGGATAGGATTCGAGTTCAGTGACTATTCATGTATTTATGTATAAATGTTACAACAGCAGAGTTTGCCAACTATTTTAACCAGATGACAAACATAATTTGTTCATTCACTTACACAATTTCAATCTCGCTTCTCTGTTTTAAATATGTGAATATCAACAATGTAATTCTGGGGCCTATAGGCCAGGTTTGAGATAAGAGGACAAGGAGATGTTTCACAGTTTGCTCTCAAAATCTCAAACACACTGAACCGACAAGAAGAGAGAATAATGCCTCTTCATAATGCCACGCTTCCCAGCAGAGACTCCATCAGGAAACTCCCCCTCTCACACAGGCTGCCCCTCTGTGTCACTAACAACAGACATGTTAGCTGTGTACCTTCCCTGTCCGTTCAGTTTTGGTCACACGCTGCGTATCTCTATTATCCCCTGCAGCCGTCTCCATACTCCTCTTTCTTCCTCCAACTAACACTGGATGATTTGCATGTCCAGGGTTAGTGGTTTATAATCCAGTTACAAAACTTAAAGTTTAAAATGAATTTCTTATAGTATTTTTCTTTGTTATTGCTGTTGTTTACACGAATAATGCCACATCATAACTCTTTGGCTAAGACTCACTGCTGCAGCCTTTACCTTTAACCTTTTGAGTTTAATACTTGCATTCAGTGCTTTCATCCAGAACTGCAAACAAAGACATGGTTCATACACTGTGCAGTTAAAAAAAGAAGTTTCTGTTGCCATAATAATAAATTATGTTGTATTGTTGTATGTATTTAAAAAATTATGAATGAAGGAACAACAAAAACAAAAAGTGAACAACAAAAACACAACAAAACTGTGTGGCAGCTGGTTTGTACTGAGTTGCCAGACTGTAATTTAGCTGGCGATTATAGGGATAAGCACCACTAAATCACTGCACACAATGTACAAAGAGTGGGAGGAACAGTTGGGGGTTGGGGTGGGGGTTGGTTTGAGGGGGCGTGTTTTAGTTTGTTAATCCAGCCACCGCTGAGAATTTTGAAACACATCCACCTTTTGACATGTTTCACTTTTTCATTCATTGCATTGCGTTTCAGGAGCTTTATCAGAGCTCTCCATCCATTAGAACAAAGTTGACCCATTGTATTTGTGCACCAACTTCTTTGCAGGGATCCTCACACACAGGCCTGTATGGTACGTGATGATATTCATTATTGCATTCATTAAGAGATTTGCAGCCTTTAACAGTTCAAACAAACCGATGCTTTAATGTACAAATACATAGAGCTATAGTCAACCTAGGATAGGTGGGCAACTGTCATTGAATACTTGGTTTGATTTTAAATCTATGGATAGTGAGAGCTGCAGGGAGGTTTCTGATTAAACACAAGTAAACATAATGTCAGCTGATATGATGAAAGTGTGAAAAGTAGATTTTGAGGACCGCTGCTCAAGCAGGATCCATCCTAAGCAACACATCAGCTGATGTTGAGCAAAAATCTCATATTAAGACACACTTCATCAAAGCAGCTGTCATACAGTAAGCCTGGGGCAGCACTGTGCCCAATTTACCTGCCTGGTAGTCCAGACTCATGCATGATTATCATTACATAACCTACAGCTGTGAAGGCTTAACCCCCCCATGCCTTAGAATCTGTCCTCATCCATCTTGTAATTCTGCTAGTTCTGTGAGGAGCCAGCTAACCTGTCTCACAGACATCATTAATCACTCGCTGACACAGAGGAACGAGACATGCTCTGTTAAGTACAAACTAGACTGTCTCCTGTCACAACGAAGGCACGACTGTCCACCAAACCTAAACTCTTTTTTGTTTCTAACTCTCAATCAGAACCACATTCTGTCATAGTTTTGCACGTCTCCATAAGTTCCACAAACACCAAAACAAATCATAAATGAAATGCAGTACCATCGGAGATTTCAACAAATCCTAATATCCTCCTTGGGCAAGTTAAATTGTGCTTGAAAGAAATATGTACGCTTCATAGCAGTTTGCTTCACTTGAACAAACGCTCTTTGACAGGGTCAGGGTTGTGGATTCCAGATGTGAGTGCCCAAGTTGTGGCCAGAGGTTCTTCACCACATCATATTCCTCTTTACAAATAACACACTGAGGGGAAAACAGGTTTCTATAGCCACTAGAGACCCAGCAGAGACTAAACAGCACAGGTAAACCTTGAAAATGAAGGGCTAGTCACATGTAAAAATCCCTTAAGACCAACTTAAAGGCGCCTGTGAAATTTTCTTGTAAACAAAAAAAATTTGTGTTTCTCACCAAAACATCCTTGAGGTGAAACATTTACTTCCTCAGGCGACATTTGCACAGCTGATTTTCAGAAAAGTTCAAAGCCAACATTGTTTACGTACATATTCACAGGCTTCTTCCCGTCCTTTAGTTGATGCATTTCTTTACGCATTGCTGCAACAGGAATGTATGCAACATCACATGCATGCATCCATTTGCAGGATACAAACAAAAAGGGGACAAGGTCATAAAAAAATAGTTCATAGTTTTGGTCACAAACTCCACGGAGTCCCTTTAAAATTCTTGAGAGAGAAAAATCACAGATCGTACCAAGAGATTCAGGTGAAGATAGACAGAGGGGGTGAGAAGGTATTCATACTTGACTGCATGTCAGATGTTTGGGAAAATATATTAATAAATGTAAAAAGCAACCAGTTGATTTCTGTAATTAGGGACGATTGGATCCTGCTTCATTTTCTAGTGTTTGACCGTGACTTTTTAAAGTGAGTGCAGTCCTGTGAGATTATTTTGTTACAACTTTTTATGAAACTGAGAATACAGCATTTACCTGCCAAGCTGTAGACTGACAACTTTTGTCAAAGTACTGTATATGCACAGTATGAAGATATCCTGTAAACAATTGATACACAGACTGTATACCAGAGATCAGTCAGTATTGTATAACTCAGAATAATTTTAGTCAATACCTGTAATCAAATTTGGCAGCACAACCTGAAACACAGGTATCGCATTACACAAGTTACTGCATCATAGACTTAAATCACACACTGGGACAAACTGACTACCGACCATTTGTAGTTACATTAGTTACCAAACTGGAAATTTTTTGTTGCAGATTTACACGGCAAGTTTGCTTTTGGTAGCATACAAGGCTACGTAGGGTTTATAATACAAACAAGCTTTTTAAGGAAGAAAACGAGCACAAAATCTGCATTTGACCAAGATCGTTTCCATGACTTTGATCAAAGAGGGAAAAAAAAAAAAAAAAAAGAGAACGAAACACCTGAACGAAAAGCATCCTGAAGAACAGGTATTTCCATCTCGTTACTCATCCATCATTTGACCCATGCACTTTGACGCACCGTCAACTTTACACCCCTCTGATCTCCAGACTTTAATTTTTATTAACTAAGTTCTCGTCATACCAGAGCACACTGAAATGGCCACAGGGATTTTGCTTTAGTCAGTTTCGATGACAGTCATCTTTGAGAAAAGATTTATATTAAAAAAAAAAAAAAAAAAATCCTACTGGGAAACAATCTGAATTCAAATTCTGTCCAAACTGGAATTTATCTGATGCATCTAAAGATTGCTGTAGTGAAGAACCTCTTCCACAATGTGGTTTTAAAAAGGTTTATCACTTAATAGGATAAATCATGACCAAGACAAGTGAGGACAGACATCAGGGACATGAAGTCAAACAATGTGATTCGAGAAAGTTCACATTAATTTGAAAATACAGAATGCGTTCGGTCTGCGTTTTCTTTAGTGTGACACACTGAAGCATTCAGAAATTGCACTTGAGTTTTTAGTGGCTCAAGTTGGAACACAAGTAAATGCTCAAGGCACAAAGAATCACTTACAATCTGAAGAGCCGTTCACATGCAGTTACTCAGGATCCAGTTTATTTACTGAAATCCACCCAACTGATACCAATGCAGTTAAATAGGCTACAGCCAGGCAACTTTCATGAAGGTGATAATGTTCAGGTTTCATTGGAAGTGAGGTGTTGATTCAACTGCTTGATGATTCAGTTAGTGGTGCTGTTGAACAGCTCTGCATCATACTGACAGATGTTTCTATTATTTTCCTCTTCATTTATATTAATGAGGGAAACGCCTCCACTTTTAGTTTGGATTTTGTCATGTGCAATAGCGGGTGGCTCACCCAGAAACTGCAGTGGGAGACATTTCAAACCATTTTGAAACCAATATTTAACACAAAGTATTTAATCATTTTTTTTTTTTTTTTTTTTTTTTTTTTTTTTTTTTTTACTGAATTGACATTTGTTTTCACACATACAATCCTGCTAGTTTACATGGCGTTGACAATGTCCAGATCACCTATTGACTTGTTTTTTTCCTTCCAAAATACTGCAACTTTATTATACTTCACTGAAAAAACACCAGACGATTTGATTGAATTAATTTTGTTTATTTATTTGCACATAAAACATTACAAGTACATTGTATCTACTTTTGTATGAAGTGGACGTGCAGGTGAAGTAAGAAACCCATCTAGAGCTCATGGTATAACTATAAATCTATGTCCTAGTAAATCTGTAGAGACAATCTTACCATGTGAAGACTGTAGGTGTACGAGGGCCGCTGCAACCACATGGATCCAAATCTGAAGGATAAAGAGGATGTTGGTCTACAAATAGTTTCATTCACGTGTACTTATAAATTGGTACCATTTAGTGTTCAGAAAACCGAGAGTCACCACTGAACAATCTGCCGGTAATTCCAGCTATTTCAGTTTAGGTTTCATCACAACAATGACAACAGCTATTCATGTGCTTCAACTTAAAAAGCTACCTGTCAAATTCACTCGACAGCAGACTTCAGGGGTCAGGAGCCCACTGGCATAACGGCACCTGGAATAAACAAAATATGGAAAAATGAGGACATGTTTAATAAAAAAAAATAAAAAAATCTTTTCAAATCATCTCTTTAAAGACTCAGAAAAATGGATTCGAAACTATCGTCAGTTGTCGCATCTGACGGCACTTCCTATTCCAGGTTTTCATCACTGACAACATTACTCAGGGCAAATTAGCTTTTCAATTAACTCACCATTGTACATGAGACAAAGTGCTTGTATTATTTGGCACATTTACCAGCATTTTATTTATGTGTCCAATCTTTGATCTCAAATTGGAATTTGAGAAAATCAGATTTTGAAGTTTTGAAAGGTTCACAATCAGCTCTGAAACAACTTGTGATCCATTGTCAGTCATCATGAAGTCTAAAGCCTGCTGGTGCATTCTCTGCTTAAGAATGCAGAACAAGCCCTTGTGCAAAATCATCAAGTACCGAGTAGTCTCACTGTACAAAGGTGAGCTTATAAAAAAAGCTCATCTGCATATGTTTTTAAAGGGTATCTAAAAATAGAAACTTACAGAGAACATCTCGATGGTGTTGCTGCAGCTGCACGACATAAGATGAATCTCTTCCTTTCAAAAAGGAAGAAGCTCAACCTTGAGAAACCAGAACAAAATTCAGAACAGTGAAAAACAAGCACCAGTGATGCTCATTTGAGACAAGGTGCCATTGTGATTGTGTGTTCAGAAAACCAATGATCACCACTGAGCAATCTGACGGTAATTCCAGCTATTTCAGTTTAGGTTTCATCACAACAGAAGCAGCAAGTTCACATTCTTTATGGCAGAAAATGCAAACTCACCTTCATGAAATGAATCTTCAGTCAGTTGGTGAAGATGGCAGCACATGCACTGCTGCAGTTCAAACAGCTGTCAGCAGCAGGTGCATTTCCCTGGACTCAACTTCTGTTGCTTCTTCTTGAGCTACAGAAGAAACATGGAAAGGTTATGATTTGATAACAGAAAATTTACTTTGACAACAGAATTCTCACGTTCAGAAACCCGAGAGTCACACTGAACAATCTGCCGGTAATTCCAGCTATTTCAGTTTAGATTTCATCACTACATGTAAAGTTTTACTCAAGTAAAACTGCATCATTAAACCAACCTCAGTCTTGACTTTGCATCATCTTGAACAGGCACATTCTGACCTAAAAAAACAAATAAAAACAAATTCAGTTCTATTGACAGCACACGACAACTGAACTCAAATGCAGTTTCAGGGAGGCTCAGAACAGTGAGTTAGAAACATCGTCAGTTGTCGCATCAGACGGCACTTCCTATTCACAGTTTTCATCACAGACACAGCTGCACACACATTAAATAGATGGGTTGAATTCACCTTCACTCACCTCTTGAGTTGAGTGGACGACTGATTACATTTATCAAACTCATGCAAGGAGCTGCCAAGCTGAAGCCCACCTGAGGAAAAACAAGATGTTTCAAATATGGTTTAAAATCTTTGGAAGGAAAAAAAAAAAAAAAAAAATCCCGCCATGGACTATAGGCAGGCAATACTGTCAATATCAGACACTTTGTGGGGAAGTGGGGCTTTAACAAAAAGGCATTTGACACATTTACAATGAAATGCCACATTTAAAAACTCATTTCTAACATGTCTCTAGTTATTTAATTCACATTACTGGTAATTTTACTTCACAAATGAAGCAAAAGCAACAGCAGCCGTGGCTTCAATTTTGAATCCCACCGATATACTACATAACGATATTTAGCCACCATTTGATTTTAATCTAACACCTTAAAAATGCAGGAAAAACTACCGTTTACTCTTTTCAACAAAACAACAAATAAGAAAAACCACTAAATCTCACTTTGTCTTTTACCTTCTCCATCTTTCAGTCCTCCCCACGTGGCTGCTTGAGGCCTGACTGACACCCTGAACACTAACATTTCTCTGCAGCCAACAGATACCACGTTTTAACTGAACACTCAACTGCAGTCCAGCTAAAGTCATTTAATAGTTACTACTGTGGCTCTGTATTTACTGGACTCTGTTTACCAGTCCAATTAAAACTGCCGCGGTGGGACACAGCAGCGGCGGCGACAGTCGAACTAAAAGAGAACGCGACTGTGGTCCGGAACGTTTTTAAAGCCTGCCTGATCGTCGCGGAAATAATACGTAAGACGTAAAAACCGACGTGAAAGATCGGCGATATCGCCACCTGCTGCACCGGAGTGTGAACTGCACGATTTCTCACTCAAACGCACCCACCACCTAAAGTCTGTACAGTCCATTCTACATGTTTACATACTATTATAAAAACTATTGAATAATGTGCCAAACCCAACACAAAATAAAATTACTGTAAATTACACTGTGAAATTTAATTATGACACTGAGCATCTATTTTCATTCACTCATTGAGTCAGAATGCCCTGCAGCCGCAGGGTGCCGCTGTTTCACACGTTACAGGCTGGTTTTCTTCACTAGTTACATGTCTCATTAGATGCCTGCTTGTCTGTTTGTCTGTCTGTCTGGAGATAAACTGTGGAGACTCAGCTCAGCTCCAACTTGCTCTGGATTTATCTACTCGGCAGACTTTGGATATAGCATCACATCTCCAGACACAGATTATATTTCCTTCTGCAGTTTCAGGTAAAGTTGCTAAACTTACTTAAACACTTCAGAATTTACAGAGTGCTTATTTTAGAACAAGTTTTTCTTTCTGCACTGTTGATGACTCTTGATTTGCAGATACATTCTGTTCTAACCACACCTTCCTGAAATCTTAACCTAGGTCAATGAGATGTTACTGTATAAAAACAATATGCTTTGGGGTTGTAGTATTACCACACAATGTTTTACAGTAGCCTGCTGTGTGAAGGTTTTAGGCAGTAAAGTAAAGTGAGGACAAAATGCCATGCACACTTCCTTTTTCCTCTGATGTTCATCGGGGGCATATTGATGGTAGTTCGCTGCAGTTTCTTTTTTTCAAATGGAAATCAAAAAATCTGATTTACTGTGCACTTTGCTTAGATTGAAGCGGACAGTTTAAGTTTTGATATTTTCTCTATTTCAGGAAAACTCCATTGTGTCCTTTCCTGGGTTTGTGGAAGGAGTGGTGAGAAACAAAGAAAAAAAAAAACTTAAGTGTGTGTGAGTGTCTCGTTTAAGTGAATGAAGATTGTGTTTGCATGTGTGTGTGTGTGTGTGTGTTGATCCACTGTAGCAGCATGTTGCCACCTGTGAAGAAGGACAGAATCATTACACAGCTACCAAAGGTTAGTCACACACACACACACACACACACACACACACACACACACACACACACACACACACACACACACACACACACACACACACTCTCTCCCTCTCTCACATACACACACTATAATGCACTTAAAGCTAACAGTGTTACTGTTGATGATGAGGTTATTTAGAGTCTTGAACTGCGTCTCTGCAATGCATGACTGCAAATTTTCAAATTCCTGTTTTCCTCATAAAACCTGCAACTCCGGTGTCTTTTGTTTTACCTCTGTTTGAAGATTGTTTATGATTCCCGATTAGCTGAAAGTATGAACTAGTTTAGCTGATAATTTGGGAAATACAACAGTTTAAAATTGAGCCATGAGAAGACAGGCATAATTTTATTTTGGGACAATGCTTCTTCTCCTTTTTTTTTTTTTTTTTCAAATAATTTTTTATTTGCCAGGTAACAGACATTCAGTTTACCCTCCCTCGCTTTTTTCTTTTACTGTCCAATGTGCTTTTTTCGATTTGTTTCTCTCTATGTCTGAATGTTTCTTCTTTGTGGTTCCTTTCTAGTGTTTTAGTCCAAATGCAGCGCTGCACACCAAAGATGGCTTCCACCCACAGGTGAAGGCCGCCTGTCAGGTACAAAAGACTGGCACAGTAAGGTAAGATCATTGACAACATGCCCGGCTGCTCATCCTGCTACTACACACACACTCTGATATGTGTTTAAATTAAATGAATTAGTTCAAGCAGGGCGCTTTAAGTCATGCTCTGACTGCTGTGTCAGCTGATATCCATCAGCCACACCCATCACAACTGACGACATTGATCTGGTCTATTTAAATAATAAGGCTGGAGGTGCTCCATATTTTCCTACTTTTAATAAGTTACATTAAATATTCCAACATGGACAAATGTGTCTCTCAAAACTTCCCAGCTTCCCTACTCTGTCTTTCTGCAAAATCTCGACAGACTGGTCATAAATATACAGTTTTATTTTCTTAAAACAGTCAGTAACACTAAGCTGGGAACTGTAGTTTTAGTAAGTAGTGCATTTGTTGGGAACTATTTCCAGCCATGGATTAATACACATTCAGTGCCCATGTTCATCGTACTGAAGGAACCTGTTAACCAGTGCAGCAATGTGGCTCACTGTCGCTAAACAGACAAAACGTGTTACTCAGAGTCACTCTTTCTTGGTTTTGGTCTTTTCATGGGATCTTTACTGAGCCTCCACCTCCTGATCTCTGGTTGATTAGTGTCAACTCCTGCAAGTTGTTTGCAGTGATGTCTGCATGTTATTGATCATGCTGCTGTGCATTTCCTGCTGTTTTTGTTGGATGAAGTCATGAATGACAGTTGACTTTCTGTTGCTAGCTTTAATATCGCCAAGGTGATTGTAGTGGGAGATGTTGCAGTTGGGAAAACGTGCTTGATCAGCAGGTAAGAAGCAGTCATCAATAATAATCAGATCAATAGGATTATTAGGCTGTTTTTAGATTTTTTTAATTCAGTTTTGTGCTCAGTCTGATTTGAACTATGACTCAATAACTTGTTGGAGTGTTTCATCCGTAGCTGCAGGGCTTGCAGCATCATTAAAGTTTAGTTTGACAACAACATGGTTGAATGTTTTCTCGTCCAGTCCAAAACAGTCACTGATGTAGAGCTCAGTCACACATGGAAACATACTGACAGAAACAACTCGTGCACAGTCAACATGTGCTCAGAGCTGAGACTCAGTGGTTTAACTGAGTTTGTGTGAGTTACTTCCACTATGATACAGGAGTGAGATAAGGAAATTGAAGTCAGTTTATTTAGATTCATTAGATCTCCTGAGATTTATTTCAGGGTGAATGACATATCTTTTTCCTTTTATTTTTACTGTTAGCCAGTCAAAATGATCAACTCTAGGCTTCAATTTGGGCACCACAAACTTTTCTGACATTTCATAGACAAAAAATAAATTAAAAAAAATCTTCTCCTTTGCTGCTATCAGGTTCTGTAAAGGCGCATTTGATAAGAACTACAAAGCGACCATAGGGGTGGATTTTGAGATGGAGCGTTTCGAGGTGCTCGGTGTTCCCTTCAGTTTACAGCTGTGAGTATGTCACTACTACACCCCAGAGAAACACTCAGTTCATAGACTGAGCCACCAGCAAACTAATTCCCATCCTGTGGCAGGGCGAAATTTGTCAATCGACACCGTCTGTTTAATGTTTCCTGCCTCAAATACCATAATGAAGTTTAAGTTCTTGAATGTCTGAACAATCTGTACGAAGGCCTACATGAAATCACATGATATTATACAACTATCTTTATAAGGTCCTCCAGGTTATTTGATAAGCTTCTTATTTAGACAGTTAGTGGGCCTTATATTACACGTTGACTTCAGTCCTGCATGTGCACATGTGTAGTATTAATGTAATTTTGAAGTTAGTATCTGTGAGAGACGGACTGCACGGGACAGTTAATGAGCTGAACATTCCAGTGAACATTCGTGGCCGTGAAAGACTGTTTTGTCTGTCGCTCTGTCACTCCGTCACCGTGCTGCTGAAATAACTCAACAACCACTGGATGGATTACTGTGAAAGCCCTTTCAGACATTCATAGTTCCCATAAGGTGAATCCAACTGATGTTAGTGACCACACATGTCTTGATTGGATGGATTGTCAAACATTCAAGTTGTCCTGGATGAACTGTAGTAACTTTAGTAGTTACTTTGTTTATTCCTTGAACCTGAGTGCCATCATCAGGTCAAATAATACATTTATTTTATGACCAAATATACATACACCCCCTTCCCTTCATTTCAACCAAATTTCCCAGTGAGAACAGTCAAAGCTGCATCTGATGTGTTTCAGGTGGGACACAGCAGGTCAGGAGCGGTTCAAGTGCATCGCTTCCACCTATTACAGAGGAGCACAAGGTGAATTTGGCTTCGTCTCTACAGTGTTTTTTTGCACCTGTCATCGAAATGATTCAAACTGTTTAATCTCCATCTTCTGACACATTCTCATGCACTTTGTTTTGCCTCTGTGTGTGATTACCTATTGTGCGTCTCTTCACATCTCCAGCCATTATAGTGGTGTTTGACTTAAGCAGTGTGGGCTCACTAGCACATGCCAGGTAAGGAACATCCCATTACTATCTAATGCTGATGCTATTAAAATGCCATTAGAAAATTTATAGCTGTATGTGTGTGTGTGTGTGTGTGTGTGTGTGTGTGTGTGTGTGTGTGTGTGTGTGTGTGTGTGTGTGAGTCTAGGCAGTGGCTAGAGGATGCTATGAAGGAAAATGACCCATCCAGTGTTTTACTGTTCCTTGTCGGTACCAAGAAGGACCTCAGTGTGGGTGACCTTTTTTTTTCTTTAATTACTGCAAATTGAGAAATAGATTAAACTAATTAAGTTAAATGTTTATCTAACTGAATTGAACATGTTTGTCGGACAAAATAAACAATTTGAAGACATCACTTTGAAACTATGAGTCCAACAGTCTGAAGCTTGTTGTTTGCTTCCACTTCCCTGTTCCCACTCCCTCTGTCCTCTGTGCTTCGCTCCTCAGTCTCCTGATCAGTTGGCTCAGATTGAGCGGGAAGCCATCAGACTCTCTGAGGAAATCAAAGCAGAGTACTGGGCTGTATCTGCAAAGTCAGGTGGTCAAACACACATTAACATGCACAAATCCCCAACTCTTTTTCGCTTTTCATTTTCAGTTTTAATCCTCTTTTGGTCTCACTAAACTCTCTCCTCCATCTTGTTTTCAGGAGACGGCATCAGGGATTTCTTCTTCCGTGTGGCCTCTCTGACTTTTGAGGCCAACGTTTTGTCTGAGCTCGAGAAAAGTGGATCGAGGCACGTCGGTGACATTATCAGTGAGTCGGCTCACTCCATAAATTCTCATTATTAAAAAGGCAACATAATATGTTCGACTATTTCTCAGAGTCATTAACTAGCTAATTAGTTTCTACTTACTGGAAACTACCATGTCTTCCAATGACACGCTCTCACTAATGATGACAGTCTTTGCCTTTTCTCAAGCCACTGAGAAATGTGTTTATGCCCAAGCTTTACTTCAGTTTATTTTTACTGTCACCAAACCCCATGAAAAAAACAAAACGGTTGTTTTGTTCATCTCAACACTTCCCAACCGTCCTGTTCCCAAGCCCATTTGTACCTACTGCGGATCTACCTTTTTTGAAAAGTTTCATTTTGAAGAAAGGCTGAGAGAACAAAAACAAAACGAAAAGTGCTTTTGCAGAACCATTCTCTTTGAAAATCTAAAATTGCACACTGTTTACATCCGAGCAGTCTTCTTCTTCACTGCCTTTGTGGACAAACTGCCTCATTGCACGTTGTTGATCGGTGCAATAGTGTGAACTGTGCTTTCCTCTGAATAGCAAAATAAATAAAGAAATAAAAGGTGTTTAATCTTATCTGTGTTGCACGCAGGGATCACAGACAGCACAGAAGCAGATCATGCGCCAACCAAGAGGAAATCCAACTGCTGCTGATGAGAGCTGAGAGAGTGAAACTGTACCGTCTCCACAGCAACACAACACAACACAACACAACACAACACAACACAACACAACACAACACAACACAACACAACACAACACAACACAACACGCTGAACAGGAAGATTAAACTGAAATATGGACTCAGCATGCTCAGTGTAAACATCATGAATAAAGCACATAAAAAAAAAATCATTGTCCTATGAGCTAAATGATGTATTTGTGACGCTCTGCAGATGGCCTGAGAGGGAATCAGCGTGAATTTAAGTCGTAGTTTTTGACATGATGAAATGTGAGCTGAGGCTGTAAACAACAAGATGTCAGTCAGCAGTGATCAAAGTGGTGTCCTCTCAGGAATGTTCGTTCAGCTGCAACAAATAAAGCTTTGTGATGTGCTTGGATACGAAAACATTTATCAAGAGAGGAAGATTATTCTTTTATTAAACTGCCTTTGGTTGATTCTTTCATAAACACACTGTCTGTCTGTTTGTCCAAAGGAACATTTCTCTCCCATTACAGATGAAATGTCAGCGTCAGACAAGATGCTTTTTTTTTTTTTTTTTTTTGGTCTCCTCACTGGTCTCCTGTCATGTGTCTGTGCTGCTAATGCGTTGCGTACGCCGGCTCCCATGACCGCGGTCATACCCACAACACATCTCTCTCCTCTGACATAAGGGTTCTCATGATCGCAAAAATGGAAGGATTGTTTGCGGGGAGAGAGACGAGCAGCGAGTTTACAACTGAGGTCAATCAATTCCCTCGCTCAGTAGAGAGGGGAGTTAGTGCGTCTTCATAAGCCTGCACATGATCCCACTTGTTGCTTATTGACCACTGCTACACTTTGACTATAGTTTATGGATTATGGATTGTAAATAAACTGATTTTGATCACTGTGTCATCCTTGTGTCCTGGTGAAACAGGACAGCTGGATGGTGTCAAGAAAGCACAGGTTGGGAAAATACCTCACATTCTGTTCCAAGTTAATCATATTTATACCATGAAGAAAATCAAGAATGCAAACACACACACACATACACACACACACACTTGTATGTACATCACATGCCCAGACTGCAAGTTTTTTTCCCCCAAAATGAGCATGAACAAGAGTCAGGGATAATATGAACACTTTTATTAAAGGGATCACAGGTAGAAAAGGTCATCAGCAGTGCCAGAGACATCATTTCTCCTCCATCACCCAACTACTGCTGACGACCAATCACAGCCTCACTGAGAAAGATGCTTCATCTTAATCTGGCAAGAGACGTAAAACCAAGTTTACTCAAAACAAACATAATTATTTAAAACATATATGCATATTAATGGGACCATGATAGTTTGCACACTGCAAAATGAAGCACACCATTGAATACCAGCGCTGCTTGTTTGTACTGTGGCACAGAGGCACAGCAACAACAAAAAAAACAAAACAAACCTGAATGCATAAGCCAAGAGGGATGCAGAGTGGCCTGAAACTGTCGCATGACAATCACAAAAGATTCAATGTGTGTTTAACAACGATATATTCACTCTACGGAAACAGCTGCGTGCCGCTCAGGATATTATACAGTTAGGGATATAAACACAGGAGGAAGTCTGTTTGATAGTATCTTCTGCTGATAGTGTTAAGAGAGAAATTTGAATTCATCCACTCAAACATCTGAATTTTACTGTTGCAGCCGTGGAAAAACGTCTTTGTGAACATTCAGTAGGAGAAGCGATACTGTCTGGGAGTGAAGTGCAGCAGCCATGTATGAGATCACATCTCTCAAGGTGGCAAACAAAATAACGTCAATAGTGAAATATTTGCTCAACAGCAAACATTTAAGATACAAGAGATTCAGATTTGAATAAACTTATAAAAATGGCCGTCTGACAAACTGCCAAGGATGCTTGCTTCATTTGGCAAATTTGCCAGTTAGATATTGTTAATAAAATCAACTGCTTTAAAATGTGAGCTAACGCACATGAAGTATCAACAAGCACTGTTACCTCGGGGTGTGGCGCATGGGAAGTGTCCACCAAGCATTCTTCAACAGTCAACAATACATTAGAGGCTATCTACAGGAGCCAAAATACATGAGCTGATCATAATACAGCATTTGGTGGAAACAACTAGCAATAACTCACGTATGAGGGAAGCTGACAAGAAGGTTTTTCTTATTCAATAAGTCTCATCCCTCACACTGGGCATGTGTGTGTCTGTGCTGTCGCAGATGTGTTTGCTTAGACAGATGTGAAGATCAGAGGCTTTAAGTTTCAAACAGAAAAAAAAAAAACAGTCTTTATTCATTCTGACGCATTCCATACAAAAATTCAATTACCCGATTGGCTTGGCAAAGCACTCTTTTGGCAACCGTTTCCAAAAATCCATCAACCATAAAGGAGGAAAGGTGGGTTCTAGAAACAGTAACTGTGCCCCTCAGTCAAACCAGTCACGGATCAAACTAAAACCAATTGCAAAAATAAAGATAACAGGACAGCTTGTCTGACAAAGTCTGTGTAGGTCCATATCCTATATGCAACTGTCAGACATTTCAAGTTTTTTTTGTCATTGTACTGACTTTCTGCATGACATATACAGTGTTATTCTGACTATACAAAATACTATGCAGCCAGAGCAGCTGGCTGGAGGTGAGGAGGTGGAACATTTGGGATGAGATGGGTAGACAGGAGCACAAGAGGATCATACATCATGAAGTGAGGAGGACATATGAGTGAACAGTCAGCTGGATGGAGTGGGCTCCAACTAGTGGTCAGCTGGATGAAAGGGCTGATGGGTGGTGGGGGAGACGAGAGGTGGAGGATTATCCAGATGAAGGAGCAGTACAAAGGTTGGAGTTGAGTAGGGGGGTTGTAGCGACGCCCCCCTCTGTGTCCTATCGGTCCATTTCATCCAGCAGAGGTGTAGCGTCTCCGGCGATGGACATGGGTGTGCTCTCGATCATAGGGCTGGGTGACGGTCGTGGGGTCATCCTCTGGGCTTTCTTCCGGCCCTCCGCCTCTTTCTCTTTCAGCCACTGCTCCGCCATCTTGCCCCAGTCAACTGCGGAGGCGTTGCTGCCGCTCGCCCTGTGGGGAGGGAGGAAAGAAAGGGAGGTGTTTTAATCTGAAAACAGTGTAGGATAGGAAAACAGATGGACTGGTGGGCTGCTGCTTGGCTTTAAAATGGTGCAGATTGGGGGTTTAGCACCATCTAAAGGCAGAAAAACTGTTGCATACTGCAAAACACATACAACACTTTCAGACTTGTAGGTGAAAATAAAATGCAGGGCAGAGTGTCCAATTTTATCTGTACCACTCATGAAACAAACATGATTAAACCAGGATGCTGTAAACACATGGTTAGAGTACATCAGGTCACTCCACATATTTCCCCTGTACTTACTTTGGCTGCTGCTGTGGCGTCCGTCCTCTGGACGAGGTGGAGGATGACGGAGTGCCGGATGAGTGGCCGTGGTGACTGCTGTGATGGCCGTGATGGCCATGGTGCGACACGTGTGGATGGGCGTGTGCGTGAGAGTGTGACGACTGCGGGGTGGAGCCGGGGTACTGCGGCGTGCCCAGGGCCTGCTGGCTCGGCGTGGTGTATGAATAGCTAGGCGTCATCATGGGCGTCGCCATGGGCTGCTGAGGTGTGGCAAATACCTGTAGTGGAGGAAGTACTGACGATGAATGTGGCTCTGAATTACTAGTACATGTAGGATATGAGCTACATCTCCATAAAGCCTCTTATTCACCAAAACAACAATCTAATGTATCTGCATCTTGTATCCTTGAGTGAGAACCTACAATTTATTTCAGAATATAAATGAATGTTAGGTGATGCCTGTTAGGAGCTGCCAACAGCTCAAAAACAACCTTTTTCCTTGCACAGCAGTTGCCAACATTAGAAGCTGCACTCACATGATAAGCGGAGGAGCTCCCTCCTCCTCCTCCTGTGCTGCCACCGTAGCCGTACTGGCTGGAGCCCCACTGTGCGGGGGTGGTGTTGGGGTTCTGGCCCTGGCCTGTGACTGCGGCGATGGCACTGAACATCTGAGAAGTCATGTTGCGTGGGAGGGCGTTGACAGCTCGTGTCAAGTCTAGGGAGGAAGGAATACATTAGGAAGTGGTAAAATGTACTACAACTCCTCTCATGTTGTCAATGTAGATTTGTGTGTGTGTGTGTGGAAGAGAGTGGAAGAGACTCACCTGCAGTTGATATTAGCCGGGGTGGCGTTCAGGGACGCAGGTGTCCTTGTTCGGCTGCTGTTGCTGGGAGTGATGCCTTTGACACGGGAGAAAATGTTACATAATAATCCATAATATACTTCAGCTGTTGTAATATAAACCATGAACACTATGTAAAGTGCTTCCATACCTGGTACAGGCTCTTGGTAATGGTCCTTAAACCAGCGGAATAGTCCGTTTACTGTAGGAAATATCTGTGAACGGTAGCGGAAGCCATCTGGGGTGATGGTCACATATTCAACCCTAGGAAAGAAAAATGGCATGCTGACATTCAGTTATACAGGTATGGAAAACTTGTTGTCAATCAAATTGTAAGTTTCTCATAAAAATGTCAGAGTGGATATTAAACCCACGGCATTCAGTAATTTGGCCCGATGTGTATGACATGACTCAAATTTGCAAATATGAGCCTCTGTAGCAGCTCTGGATGTTTGCATGTGACCATATGTCACGGTTATTCATTTACAGAACTGAATGGCATCAGTTTCTGTGGTTTTTAATGTGAGTTTGAGCTGCTTTGAGGAAAAGCAACATTTACACTAATGTTTTAAATCAGCCCAAACTTATTTATTCAATATTTTCTATCTGTGGCATCAATACAATGAGTAACCAGAAAACAGAGGAGACAAAAACATTTCTGCTCACCGTGGTTTTCCGCGAGGCTGGTAGCCCAGAATGAACTTTCCCGGCAAATCTTTACAGGCCGAAATAAAATAAGGAATAAAAGTAGGCTTCTCCCTCTTTGTCCTGACCAGTAACTCCTCCATTTTCTATCAAAGAGAGAACAAAACAAAAGGAGGTATAAGAGGCGCCGCTTGTGGCAAATAACAAGTAGTAGAACAAGATGAGTTGTTGAGTCATGTTTCCCACAGTAATATTTAAAAGACTACAGAATATTCAGCACAGTGACTCAGTATATACCTCCTTGTTTCCCCCGTTGCACTCCTGGAAGTACTTATGCCCCAGTAGATCCCGGGCAAATGATGCCATTGGCTGAATGTACCGAGCAGTGATTTCATCCAGATCTTCAAATTCCTGCAGAGAATGTAAGAATCTCTTTAAGAACATGCAGCAGAAGCCACAACAGCAACAATGATTTACCATGACGTTTCTGCAGGTTTGATTAGGAAGCAAAACACCATGTTGA